AAAATGAAAGCAATTAATAAATGTGCGAGAAGAAATAAAGTTTTCAACCTATCCTCGCTGTTAAAGTACTATTTTTTTATACTATTTTTGATAGATGTAAGGCAATTTTAACAGTTGCTTTTTAAAAAAATATAATAAATACTAAAATATAACTTAACTAAAGTTATATATAGGCGATTCAAATTAGGGGGTTACTTAGAAAAAAGTGTTGGAGAACTACCTAATTATCGATTTGATTGGTTCATTTGACGTGAAAGAGGTGTTTCTTAAGTTTGCACGATTTGCTTGACCGCCACTCGACTTAGGAGGCCCAAAACGTATAAAATTCTTCGACTTATTTAAGATCTCTTTTAGATTCTTCATCATGTTTTTGATAAATCTTGAGCTTTAGTCACTTATATTAGTTTTCGTCTATCTCCTATAGAAAAGGGTGTTTCCATTTAAAAGCGTCGAATTTGACCCACCCTGTACAGTGTGTCCCATTTTGGTTGAAATCATAGGGTATCTCCGTTATTAGTGAAGATAGAAGGGTGCGGTTTGCACAAACCTGTCCCACTTTTTCGTCAAACGGAAGATGCCGTAAACAAAATTTTCATAGCCCTCTTCATTTCTGAGCTACAGGGTCTTCTCAAAAATATATATCACTCTATATTTATTTTCACTATTTACTGCAATATTTAAAATATATAATTTTCTTATTAGTAGGCCGTGATAAATAGCAAAAAAATCAAAATGGTATTTACTAAAATAGTCATACACATATTAAAATTTATTTGGGATTGATATATTTTACGTTTGAAATAATTGTTACCACTGAAACTGTGAATATATTTTTCTTTTTTTATAACGGAATGGGTTTGCAAATATCTAAATCTTGAATTATTAAAACATTTTTCAGGTGTTCGACATTGTTGTAGTGCCCACGATATATTTCGTATTTCAAAAATCCCCAAAATCAGAAATCGAGAACGGCGAAATCCGGGAATCGAGGAGGCTATCAATATGCGTTCATTGGTTCCAATTCATTGATTTGAAAAATAATAATTTAACAGTATTCTAATATTTCCATAGTTATGAGGGGGAATGTTCCCCATCTTGCTGAAAGTATATTTCACGTAAATTAGCTAAAGGAATATCTAAAATTTCCGATACGATAGATTATTCTTACGTATACACGTATTCCAAGATTTACAAATAGCGGTAGAGAGTTAAGTTTCCCTAATATATAAAGAATTTATTAGCGGCTCCCAAAATAAAACAAGAGACAGATAGCAGTATACTTTTAATAATTCTTTAGTTTCTTTTATTATCAATCATGGCCTACTAATAAATATGATCTTTTAATAAAAACTTTTAAATATTGCAGTAAATAGTGAAAATAAATATAGAGTGATATATATTTTTGAGAAGCTTATGGCAAGACAGATCATATGATTTATAAATATACAGGGTGTTCCATTTAAAAAAACATAACTTTAGTTCATATTTTCAAAAATATTTTTTTGGTAGAAAAACAGACTACGCCACTGTATTCTACGTAAAAAGTTCTACAATAAACAGTTTTCACCTTCTCGATAGCTTTAACAATAACAGAGATACAGGAGGTGTCCCAAATTACAAAAATTTTTAAAAAAGACCCTGTAGCTCGGAAACGAAGAGGGCTATGAAAATTTTGTTTACGGCATCTTTCGTTTGACAAAAAAGTGAGACATGTTTGTGCAAAAACGCACCTTATATTAGTTTTCGTCTATCTCCTATAGAAAAGGGTGTTTCCATTTAAAAGCGTCGAATTTGACCCACCCTGTACAGGGTGGAGATAGACACTGTACAGGATAGGAGATCGACAAATAATAATATCGATGTCTGGAGCTCAATTTTTATAAAAAACATGATGGTGAAAACCGCACATTAATATCTGTTACCGTTTCGGAGTTACGGGGTGTTTTTCAAAAATGTGCATTTTTAACAAAGCACTGTAACTTTTTTGCTATGGAAAATGTTGTATTTCTTTGAAAACATTTCCAAAGCACTTTTTTACGTAGAATTTAATGGTTTAAGTATATTTTTTTTTAAATTAATAATTTAAGAGTTATCAACAGAAAAAATGATTTTTTATTTGGGACACCCTCTATATTTTTAATTAACTGAAAAGAGTTTAAAATTACCTTTCCAAAAATATAGCACACTTGATATTTTGTTATAATCGCCTTCGAAATATAGAATTATTAAAAGTTCGCCACTTTTAACTAGTAGGCTTTGGACTCCTTATTGATGATATGCTCTTAATGGAACTCAAAAACATCTTTTTTTAGCAAGACGAGGCACCGCCTCTGAACGCTGAAGTTACCAGCAAATTTTTGCAGCCAATTTCAAGAATAATTGAATAGCTAACCAAGATCCCAGCCGTTGGCCGTCGAGCCGCCTGACTTAGTGCCCATGGATCTAATCCTATGGATATATTTGCGGAAGAATAAAGGTTCCTTATTCTTCCGTATAATCTAGACAAGAATTAGAAATACTTAGCAGTTATGAGAGGGTATCTTTCACCTCCACTGAGTTAATGAATTCCGCGAGAAATGTTCAAAAACTGCCCCGTCTGTCCATAACAGAAGACGATCGATTTGTCGAACACCTGTAGCAAAATCTCATGTCTTGGTTTGCTATTTATTTTTATTGTTATTAGATATAGTTGATATTGTAGTGTTGATGTTGGTTAAATATATTTTAAATTGTTATAAAATTCTGCATCTCTCATAGCAAATATTATTTTCGTTTTAATTGATGCTCACAGCTAGAATTTTTTTGCATTACAGCCGGTGCCGTTCAAAGCCTACTTATTTAAAGCGGGCGAATTTGAATATACTCTATATCTCGAAGAGGAATCGAACAAAATATTATGTGTGTTATATTTTTGGACAGGTAATTTTAAATTATTTTCAATAAATTAAAAATATACAGGGTGTCCCATATAAAAAATCAAATTTTCTATAATTCTTAAATTATTAATTTAAAAAAAAATATACTTAGACCATTAAACTCTACGTAAAAAGGTGCTTTGGAAATGTTTTCATAAAAATACAAAATTTTCTATAGCAAAAAAGTTACAGCGATTTGTTAAAAATACATATTATTGAAAAACACCCGGTAACTCCGAAACGGTAACAGATATCGATATGCGGTTTTCACCATCATGTTTTTGACAAAAATTGAGCTCCAGACACCGATATTAGTTTTTGTCTATCTCCTATCCTTGTTTATATTTATATATACAAGACTCCTATAGAAAAGGGTGTTTCCATTTAAAAGGGGTTATGTTATGAAATATTGTTTCACTAATATTTACAAATTTTAAGACATATTTATCGAAATTCTCACGTGTATAATGTTAAATGATGACATATTTCGGGAATGTAAATAATACTATATCCGCAGAAAAAAGGTTATCATTATTTTCATTTAATGTGTGATATCACTTGAACCATATATTCCGGAAATTAATTAGGCTATAAATGCGCACAAAGATCGACCTTTATGATTTTCGGTGCTTTGTGATCATTTTTTTGAACTTTTTTTTAATTATTTTCATAACGAGGTCTGATGGTCTAGTGGATAAACCCAAAATATACATTACGTCAATATATTTTTTTAATATGCATATAGTAACTAATGATAACGGAAAACATATATTTGAAATAAATCAATCTTTAAAAATATATACCACCTGAATATAATAAAATTGTAATATTAGAGAAGAATTTCTGCCAAAAAAACTACAGTATTCTTGAATGTATTTTAAATAGTTTTTTCATGTATTTTAAATAGTTTTTTCTTTGTTCTTTGCGTTTTGTTGCTTCCGACGACAGGGGTAATACTCGTAATACTATTATTACCTTTGAATAGGAACACTAAGGAAGGAGCATATCAAAAATCTTAGGTACACCGCGATAGGCCTCAAATATGGCTGACTTAAACTCCGGTTTATCAGTGTCGTTCTAATTTTATTTAAAAAATGCAAAACTATGATGTAGGGTAGACGTAGGGTAGACTGGGGTAGAAGAATAATTTGTTGTTTTATTTTACGTTGTGAATAAATGTTGGTAGTTATTAAAATTGTTATAAAAATATATAATTCTAATAAAAATAGATAAGTTATAATAAGTATTTATTAACACAAACATACTCTACTGAAGCAGGTAAGTCAAATTAACGTATATAAATTCTTTGACATCTAATCTTTGACAAGTAATAAATTAGGCAACGCAACTCTCTCCTGAAAAGGACAGTTTGAGAAGAAAGAAGAAGAAGAAAAGCTAAAATGCAAGAATAATATATAATTTAGTTAATTTAAGTGAATTTCATAAATGATCGGTTTACTACACGTATGTATATTATATAGTCACTTACTAGCGAAAAGTTGTTCCATTATTTCACTCAATTTTTGCCGAGATCTACCGCACGCTACACAACCAACTATTTTAGAGTCTTTTTCGATAAATCGCGATAGTGTCACTGTTAATTTAAGTTCTGCCACAATTTCCATCTAGATTTACTACCTTTATACAACTATCAGTAGTAGAGTAAATAATAAATAACATAAAATAAGCTCCGTAAAGACTGACAAATTCACAAAATTTCAAATCAAATTCAAATGTGTCAAATGAATCGTCAAACAGAACTGTCAAGGATCCCCACCCTAGTGGGGTGGGGATCCCTACTAGGGTGGGTGCTTTTTCCGCCCACCATGCATGAATACATGGATAGCATTATGCTCCTTCTTTAGTCTTCTTATTCAAAGATGATTACTGAAACTTTAACATTGTTTGAAATATTATTTGTGACATTTGAAAAAAATTGTATGTTTTATTCGGAGAAAAAAAAACTTCTTGTGCGTCCCCTGTAACGTCGTATGTGTCAAACGTACAGGCCACTAGGCTTACCACAAAAAGTGGCAACTAATAAATGACTTGTGCCTCTTTTTCGTATAGTAAAACAAATATATGTATAAGTTTTGGTATACTGTATTTAATTAAAGACAAATAATAATTTATTAATATCTTATAAATTTAAGTACAACATCTAATCTTGTTCATCCTCGTCCAAAATGAGTTTGAAACTGAACGGGGTGAAGTTGTACCCTTCTCCTTTGTAAAACTTGTTCATAAATTCCACCCAGTGCAGACGTAGTGTGTGGAGGAAGGCAGACAATCCCTCCATGAGTACCAGAATACCAACGGTACAACCTGCCCATGGTATGAAGAAGGCGAATATTAAGGCAGAACCTGCATAGCCCATATCTCTTTTTAGACCTTTTTGGAAGACCATAGACCATAGTACGTCTGACAGTTCTATAATAAAAAAAAATATAAATTTTATTATAAGAATATACAGAGTGATCTAAACTGTATTTCGGAAACTTCGGTAGCATATTCTGCAGATAAAAATAAGTAAAAAGTTCGTATAAATATATGCCCCAAAATGCTTAGTTTCGGAGATACAGGGAGTAGAAATTTCATTTTTATTTCGATTTTTTCCAAATATTTTATGAAGTAGGTAATGTCAATATAACGGATGAAAATTGTTGTCAATTTGTCTCCTATTTGTAGGGGGCGCTACTTGTGTGTTTTAACTCTTTTGAAGAGTTTTAACTTTTCGTTTGTACCTGTATAAAACTTCTGAGTGAAGAAATATACATTTTCGTAATCTTTTACGTAAAAAATATCTCCTGGTAAAAATAGCTACGAGCAACCGTTCTCAAGATAATTAGAATGGAAATAGTCAATACATGTCATTATTGACAAAAAAATAGACATGTTGAGTAGTAAAAAATGAGTTTATATTATTATATAATATTTTTTTTTAAATTAATCATAAATTTTTCATCGGAAAATGACGATAAAACAGTTTTCGTTGAACTTTTGGTACAAAAACATTTCAAATATATGATTTTAGTCAAATAACTATCTAGTCAACATGTTTAATTTATGTCAATGATGACAGGTATTGACAATTTCGATTCCAAATATCTCGAGAACCATTACTTGTAGGGATTTTAACCAAAAGCCATTTTTTATGTAAAAAAAGGCGTAAATGTGTATTTTTTTACTCAGCAGTTTTATACAGGTAGGGACGAAAAGTTATAACTTTTCAAAAGAGTAACTCTTCAAAACACATGTAAGTGGCGCCCCCTACAAATAGGAGACATATTGACATCAAAATCAAATTTATCATATCAAAAAACTCCCAGACACCAATATTCATGCCAATATTGACCTTACTTCAGAAAATATTTGGAAAAAATCGAAATAAAAATGAAATTTTTACACCCTGTATCTTCGACTAACTAAGCATTTATACGAACTTTTTCATACATTTATACGAACTTTTTCACTTATTTTTATCTGCAGAATATGCTGCCGAAGTTACCGGAATACAGTTTGGACCACCCTGTCTAGAGTGATTTACAGGCGATGGTAAGGTCGATTTCTTTGTAAAGAACGGAAGAACGGGTAGCTGAATAATATTGAATTCTTCATTGATGATATGATTTGTAGAAGCCATATTACAAGTGACAAGTGACAAGCGATCTTGAGTTGACTTGACTAAAGAAGCTGAAGTAAAAAATAAATACTATTTATAATACATACGTGAATGAGCAAGTGATAGAGCCCACAAACGGAGATATGAAGCAGTGTGGGACACGGTACTCAACGTGAATTCTATTGTTTCGATGGCCTGATGTACCATGATCTCACTGAAAGGTTCTTCATGAGTTACCAGCTCTGAATTTTCTGGAATTGGTTGTAAAGTTTCCGCGTGAATGTTACCTTGGCTGGCACGACTGGCACGGCTTGGTTCAGCATGGTTATTGTGATTATTCTTAAAAATTAAAGAAAGTTTTATACATAAAACATGTATAAAAAGGTTGTTTGTTTGATACAAACTGTATGAAACTCACATGGGGATGTGCTTGACTCAGCCGTTCAGGCTTCTTGCTTTTTTTCTTGAAGATATTGTAAATGGGTGTTCCCAGTAAGAGCACTGGAATACACAGTAAAGCTGCAAACAAAAGTCCTTTTTGTGTGGTTTCCTGACCAGGATACATGTAGGCTTCGCATGGTGCTGTAGCGTTCGTTGTCTTGTATAACATCATTCCGATAAAGTAAATTAATACAGAGGGCGCGCAGTTCGATCCTAGACGAGTATTGACACCTTCAGGCTCTGGATCTGGAGCTGTAAAAATTAGATAAATATTATACAGGTTGTCTCTTAAATAAGTGCAAGTATTTTAAGTGGACGAGCAAAAATATAATATTTAATAATATTATATTATATATATTATATATATTATATATATTTAAGATATATACAGGGTGGTCCGAACTGTATCCCGGAAACTTCGGCAGCATATTCTGCAGATCAAAATAAGTAAAAAACTTCGTATAAATGTATGTCCTAAAATGCTTAGTTTCGGATATACAGGGTGTCTAGTATATATTTAATTTTTATTTCGATTTTTTCCAAATAATTTCTCCAGTAAGGTCAATATTTGGATGAAAATTGGTGTCTGGGAGTTTTTTGACATGAGAAATTTCATTTTGATGTCAATATGACTCCTACTAGTAGAGGGCGCCACCTACATATTTTTTAACTGGTTTGAAGAGTAATAACTTTTCGTCCGCACCTGTATGAAACTACTGAGTAAAAAAATATACATTTACGACGTTTTTTACGTAAAAAAGGTCTCTTGGTAAAAATCGCCACGAGTAATGGTTTTCGAGATATTTGGAATTGAAATTATCAATACCGGTCATCATTGACATAAATTAAACATGTTGACTAAATAGTTATTAGGCTGAGAACATAAATTTGAAAGTTTTTGTGCCAAAAGTTCAACAGAAACTGTTTCATCATCATTTCTTTGCACAAAAATTTTCAAAATTTATTATTTGAATGAAATAACTATCTACTCAACGTGTTTATTTTTCGTCAATAATGACATGTATTGACTGTTTCCATTCTAAATATCTTGAGAACGGTTGCTCGAAGCGATTTTTACAATGATATATTTTTTGCGTAGAAAGTCGCAGGGATGTATATTTTTTCCCTCTGTAGTTTTATACAGGTACGGACAAAAAGTTATTACGCTTGAAAACAGTTAAAACATACATAGGTGGCACCCTCTACCAGTAGGAGTCATATTGACATCAAAATCAAATTTCTCATGTCAAAAAACTCCTAGACACCAATTTTTATTCAAATATTGTCGTTACTTCAGAAATTATTTGGAAAATATCGAAATAAAAATGAATCTTCTACACCCTGTATCTCCGAAACTAAACATTTTAGGACATAAGAAGTTTTTTACTTTTTTTATCTGCAGAATATGCTCCCGAAGTTTCCGGAATACAGTTCGGACCACCCTGTATAATAATATAATATCCATTAATACTTCTTGCAATAAAGTTAAAAAATGGAGAACTCAAGAACCTGGAAGGCTCCATCCCGTAACTTGGAATGGGAATCCCCTAATAAAGAAGTCTAATATAATATTTTTTTTTCAAAACAAATGAATTTTAGTACTTAGGTAACTAATTTTCTATGACTATGAATGTTATGATTATGATGGGTTGATGACTTACCTATGGGTTGATCACTATCGTAGACACCCGAATACATGATCCACTTCATAAAGATCATAACTGCCAGGTAGACGAAAAGAAACAGGAAGAATAGCAGTTTAGGTAGGAATTCAAGGAACAAAGCGTGTGTTTTCTTGAAATGACTGTAACAGTTGCGTTTACTTTATTTTAAAAATATTCTATTGAAGACTTACTTACATGTGATTGACCGTATTGAGGATGATACCAAACAACATGTGGATGACGCCAAATACAATGGACAGCTTCATTTTCAACGAGTTGAGGAATATAATTTTGTTGGTTGCAGTCTAAAAAACGACATACAGTATAAAGAAAAATAAAAGAGGCTTTTTTAATACAATTTAATAAAAATAAATGTATTGCTCATGCATCTGCAGATGTTAGTAATGTATGGCAATCGCTTCTTTGATTTTAAAGAGCATAACATAAATGAACATAACATACGTAAAAATTAAAAATAATCATACAGAAAGTTTGAGGGTTTTTTGTTGTTTTGCCTTATTAAGTAATTGTTATCAGGTAGTAATTGTTATTTTTGAAATTTAACTTGAGATAGTGTCATTTTAACAGAACATCAACGGTTTTTATAGACTTATCTGTTTTAAAAAACTAAAGCGTTCTCGAATAGTTGAATTTAAATATTTAAAATAGTTTTTTTTCTTTATTCTGTGTATTTTTTTTGCTTCGACGACGGAAAGAGATAAACTTTCCGAAACGTTAAGCATTTTTTTGTTCGTTAGGCAAATTTGTATATCCTAACTTGTAAACTAACTGTAAACCTAACTTCTGACAAGTAGTTAAGAGATTAACGCAGAAGGGTTTACTATAAATAACTATTTTATTTTGTATTTGCAACTTAGTATTTTTCTGTTTATATTTGGTTTTTATGTCTCTAGGCTCCTTCGTACAGTGAATTTAAATGATTTGTCTGGGGATTAACTTTAATAAATAGTGTACTAAAGTAAAAAGACTTACTTGCCAAGCTGGGTCCATCCCTAGGAAGTATGGGTCGCGTTTGTAGTTCAATCTTGGAACTAAATCTACATAAGTTGTGTCATCTGTATCGGTATACTGTGTAAAGTTCGCTGGGAGGCCGGATTCAGCTATCTGCCATTTTGAGCCAAACACGTTCATCGATTTTGAGAAAATATCGTTGTAGATTATGCCGGTGTACATTGAGAAGATTCCCATGAGAAGAATGATGTATCTGAAAGAAGGTACAAGTATCATATTGAGATGAAATTAATTTTATATTAGGCAGTAGTTTTATACAGGGTACGGCAATTATGCGTCGGGCAGCTCCTAGAATAAAAAACTTGGAAATTTTGTTTAAGTGCAAACTTAAAGAATATACTAGGATGTATTTCGGGAAAATATTTTAACTTTTATAGGGTGGCTCAAAAAAGTTTGAGTGGATCGGGATGATTTTTTTTAATGGGACACCCTGTATATTGCATTTTTGGCTTCCTTTCAGATTACTTTACATATTCATAATATATGATTAAATATATATTTTTATTTTTCATCCTTTCTTAAAAAAATCGGCGCCGGGAGGCACGTATAGCCATACTAAAATATGTTAATAAAAAGTTGGTAGGCATTTCTTTTAGTTTCAAAGTAAAGGAATTTTTTATCTCAAAAACTGCGACTTTGACTGATTTTGATGTTACTACAAATTTTGTTGCAAATGTTATTCCTAATCTTAAACTGAAAACCGCGTTTCGCTAGCTACTGTAATTGTGGAGATACGATTTTTTTAAATTTTTAACCCCCTCCCATACTCCCTTACCAACCCCCCACCCCCACCAAAAACTAATAGCCAGATTTTCGGGTGCCACAGTATTTTTGTGCCAAATTTGGTTAAAATCGGTTTAGTGGTTTTTGAGTTATCATGTTACAGACGGACAGACAGACAGACAGCATGAAAATATTTTGTATTTAGGTCATTTATGACCCAAATAACCATAGACATAAAATAAAATATAGACTACACTATTTACATCTCAACGCGGACAAACAACCTTTTTTGTACACATGTTTACTTCTGGGTACAGTCGACCGAGCCTTCCTCATCCAGCCTATGTTGTCACGTCTTTAATATTATCAATATTTTTTTTCTTGTTATACACATATATTGAGATATTAATACTACAGTTTAATAAAGTAGGTTTTAATATTCCAAAGATGTATTAAATAGTCCTTATACTACTAAATTATAAGTCGGATACTGTTTAATAAGGATAAGTTCTTTACAATATGACAACACCGATTAGAGGCGAGGGAGCCTATTATTTTATTACCTTGTAGTACGCGTCGCACGTAAGCAGTAAAGCTTTGTTGCCGCTATGTCCCCGGCTGTATTAATGCATTTTCTTAGCTTGTAGTTCTTAACTGTTTATTTTATTGACTTTTTTCTGTTCAAGAACTATAAAATATATGTTCGCCAGTGCTAAATTTGCAAGAAATTTGACTTAAATAATCCATTTAAGCCTTGAAACGACTTTCGACCGGTAGGCAACTCTCAATTTACCCATTAGGAGTCAGTGGCGTTGTTGTAGAAAGGCGCTTATTTAGATAATATTTTAGTAAAATGTAAAATCTGAATTTTTTCTTTTACATTACATTATTTACTTACTTACATTGTAACAAAATCATAATTATAACCCTGTTAATAATTAATAATGCTTTTATTAAAATATACTCCGGTTTATTCTAAAAATCTTCAGAATCTAAAATAACATACAAGAATTTTAAAATGATATTACATTATGAAACAATATTTTTTAATATACCGGGTCGTCTCAATTAACTTTTTTTTATTTTTTCAGATAAAAACAGATTTTGTATGTTAGTAGGTATATGACATAAATTAGATTTATAGACGTATTCAATTGTTTTTGGTCTCTTCCTGTTTCACTGAAATGATTACATCTTTGATTTTTAAAGGCACCCTCGGTATATTGCTACTTTATTCGATAAAAAATGACACTCTGAATAGAATGACATATCATATATGTCAACTTTTGACATTGTCGCTTAAAACATATCCTATTTTAAATTTCAATCCAGTTTTATTCAATCCAACTAAGTTTTAATCAAGGAGCCTTGGAAAATAGTTTTGATCGTCTAATAGGTTTCGTGTCTTGTCTAGGCCGGTTAAAAAGATGTACAAATCGTATTTTTAATCATACATATGTCAATTTTTTCAAATGGAACAAGGGTGACTCATTAGCATATTTGGAAAAGCATTTTTTATGAATATATTGATACCACACACTTGGTATTTCGAGTCAAATTGTCGTTATGAACCGCGTGTTACAATTATTAAACCATATGCGAAAATGTCAAAAGTTGACATATGATATGTCATTCCATTCAGAGTGTCATTTTCTATCGAATAAAGTAGAAATATACCGAGGGTGCCGTTTAAAAATTAAAAGTTATAGTCATTTCCGGTGAAACAGGAAGTGACCAAAAACAATTGAATGCGTCAATCAATCCTAATTTATTTCATATACTAACATACTAAATCTTGTTTTTTTTATTTGAAAATATAAAAAAATTATGGGGATGAGCCACTTTTGAGACGCACCCGGTATAATAAAGACAGTACCGAGTTATAAATGTAGTTTTTATTTTATCCACTTCCTATCACCTTCCTTGCTTTAATGGAACAGATTTATGTTTGCTCTAATTTACATAATAAGACATCACTTAACCAGAAAAAAAATTACAACAATCATATTTTTTTTCTCTCCCTGTTGCCGATTCTATTATATCTGTGGAATAGATCCTGTTTTGATTAATATTAGGGGTTGTAAATGTTTGACTAAAATTAATAATTTATTATTAATTTCAAAAATTACCTAATTTCGATGATAAAATTTCTTCTATAACGTGTATTTTATTATTTTTATCCTTTTTGGACTCTAAATTGTTTTTTCTAAACTTTTATTTAAAAAATCTTAATAAAATATAAAAAAGTTTAAATACGATATATTTTTAATTTAATTATAGCTTCATTAAAATAAAAAAAATACCCGGCTATGATAATGAGAGTTCAGGTGTACTTGAGGAAACGAAAGACAGTGTTGTGTTTCTCGGCAGAGTCGTCAGGGAACGACCGTTACGACAGAGACAACCTATCTATCGCTCGTGTCGCACTCGTTATAACCTAAAACAATAACACAACAATAACAAGACAGTGTCTGACCGCATGTTCCAGCTATTTATGAATGAGATGCTCAGTCTATATTTTATTTTAAGTCTATGCAAATAACTCATTTTGAGTAAAATTAGATTTTTTTTTGCCGATCTTAATAGTCTACCATACCTATTGCACTTAACAAAATTCTCAAGTTCATTATTCTAAGAGCTACAGATGCCCGCGGAACACTATTGCCGAACGCTGTATAGTTATGTTAAAAGATGTTCAATAAAAAAAATAGAAAAATCATTTGTTAAATATCTTCGATAAAAAAATAGTTTTTTTACCTGCCACCAAAGAAAATGGAAAATATTTCTCCCTTCTTTTGAGCAGCTATCTTCTTCTCAGCTATCACCAGCCACGCACCAAATAGAGTCATGATTATCGCATGTCCCAAATCACCGAACATCACAGCGAATAAGAATGGAAACGTCACAATTGTATACAAAGCTGCAATAAGAGTTATTTGTTTATTATCAATGGTATTAGTACAGGTAACATAGTATTATTCTATGTTATCTGTGGTATTAGTAGGTAACGGACGATGCCTTAGTCCTAGTCCGTAAATACCGTAGTCCGTAGGATGGGCATTATCGTAAACTATTGTGATGCGTATAAGACCACAAGATTAACATAGAAAACTCTCAGCTAGTCAGCTAGTTCTTAATGAAACATAAGGTACCTGGATTTAGTTCCCTGTAGTTGGCAAAACCGTAAGCTGATATTAGATTTTGGAATCCTCTGGTAAACTTATTTGTTCTGTTGAAGGTTGGAGGCACTTCATTAGTTTGTAAGATGTTCAGGAAAGACTGGACAGGACTTTGGCAGATTTTCTAGAAATTAAGGTTCTAACTAGGTTCTGTATGTAGCACTCAAGATGTATGTTTGATACACGACAGCTAAATCTTACCGTTCCGTTTTCTAGAGCTTTTCGCACGTTTTCCATATCTCCAGTTGGTATCCATGCTTCAGCTATTAAACATTTTCGGCTCACATCAACAGAAAAATAGTTCAACGTGTGATAAATAGCTTTCATTTTTGTCACCATCACTGTCCAGTTAGGTAAATCTTTAGCTACACTAGCTAAAATATGGATTACAGTAAATTTTCAGTAAAATAAAATATCTTTATATAATAATAATAATAATAGCTCCCGTATATAGCGTTTAACGCGTTGGGAGTAGCAAGGTACAGCTTGCCATACTAGAGCCGTTCGTATACAAGGAAGGTAATGTGGCTAGAACTACGCTTCAACCGCCTATTGGATTAGTGAATCCCAAGTACTCATTTAAGGCTGAGTCGACCTATAGGTACCAGGTACCCAAACTATTTTTAATTTAACAATGCCGGGTGTGGGATTCGAACCCACTACCTTGAGATTGGTAGACGAGAGCCTGTACCTCTACGCCACCGGGCACCTTTATATAAATTTATAAATATCTTGATATAACTCTTAAAATTCAAAAATGCACTACATATTCGAAATTTTGAAGATGAGAGATATACATCTTGAGATGGGGCACACATATGATTTTTACATTATACCTCTGCTTATAATCAGAAACAAAATACCAATGGATATACCGTGTGCGTCCCAAAAGTAGCTCACTCCTATATCTTTTTTATTTTTCCAGATAAATATGTAGGTATGTTAGTATATAACATAAATAATTAGAATTGATTGACGTTTTCAATTGTTTTTGGTCACTTCCTCTTTTACCGGAAATGACAACCTTTGATTTTTAAATGGCACCCTCTGTATATTTTTACTTTATTCGATAGAAAATGACACACTCAATAAAATGCACATAGTTATCACATGTCAACTTTTGATATTTTCGCTTAAGAAATCGTATTTTAAATTTCAATATAGAGTGCCATGGCTGTATTAAAAACGCTAATTTTTAATCAAGGAGCCTTGCGAAAATAGATTTGATCGTCTAATGTTTTTTGTGTCTCGCCCTGGCCGGTTAAAAGATGCCCAAATCGTATGCCCAAAATATAATTTTTTTATAATATCTCAATTTTTTTCAAATGGAACAAGGGTGGCTCATTAATGCTAATGAAATTTCGGAAAAAGCATTTTTTATAAATAATTTGGTATCACAAACTTAGCTTTTCGAATGAAATTGTCGTTATGAATCGCATGTTACAATTTCAAATAAACCATATACAAAAATGGCAAAGGTTGACATATGATCTGTCATTCTATACAGAGTATCATTTTCTATCGAATAAAGTAGAAAATACCGAGGGTGTCATTTAAAAATCAAAAATTGTAGTTATTTCCGGTGCAACAAAAAGTGACCAAAACAATTGAATACGTCAATCAATCCTAATTTATGTCATATACTAACATATCAAATCTCATTTTTTTTATCTGAAAAAATAAAAAAGTTATAGGGGTGAGCAACTTTTGATACGCCACCCGGTATTTTTAAAATCAAATTTCTATAAAAATATTTGCACCTACCTAATATACGTCGGATATGATCTTCACTCTGAGCAAGAACTTTTTTGATATCTTCCAACTCGACTGACACTGATTGATTGAATTCGCTTCGTTCTTTTGGTGAACTGGGGTAGTTTACCCTTTTGGCGTGAAAAGCATGCACTATTTTCTGAATTTTCTCTTCAAGCTTGTCCCCTTGGTAGAACGCAATAAAGACACATTTTTTCTGTTCGACACCCTAAAAGAAATTTGTGGTTGGGTAAGAATTCTTCATGATTATAAAAAAACAAATGTAGTAGTCTTTGAGGAGATAAATCTATACTAATATATAAAATGCTTAAGTGACTGACTCACTGATTAATCATGATCCTGCTCAAACCACTCAACGTAAAAAGCTCAATTTTGGCATACAGGTTGATTCTAGTGTGTAGAGGTTCAATAAGAAGAGATTTTTCGAAATTCCAGTTCCAAAGGGACCCCTCAAATATTACAATATTTTTTATTTAAAAAATGGTCAAGTTTCCGAAAAACGCTTAAACACGTATATTTTATTTTGTTTTTTACATATTTTAAGATTTTTCAAAAGGTATACAGAGTGTTTCGAAAAATGTGGTCATTGATTAATCACGATCCTGCTTAAAGCGCTTGACGTAAAAAGCTGATTTTTGGAAAACGGAATGACTTCAATGTGTAGAAGTTCGATAAAGAAGGGATTTTTCGAAACTCGAATTCTAAGGGGGTGAAATAACCCCACAAATATTAGAATATTTTTTATTTAAAAACCGGTGAGTTTTTCGGAAAAACTCTTAAACACGTTATTTTATTTTGTTGTTTTACATATTTTAAGATTTTTTAAAAATTTATACAGGGTGTCTTATAAAATATGACCATTGAGTTATCACGATTCTGCTTAAACTGCTTGACATTTAAAGCTGATTTTTGGTAAACGGATTGACTGTGGGGTGTGGAGGTTCGATAAGGAGGGGTTTCTCAAATCTCAAATTCCAAGAGGATGAAAATGCCCCTCAAATATTACAATATTTGTTATTTAAAATACGGTTAGTCTTTCGGGAAAACGCTTGGACACGCATAATTTATTTTGTTTCTTTACATATTTTGAAATTTTTTAAAAAATCATACAGGGTGTTCCAAAAAGTTTTGGCAAACGGATTTTTCGAAAGTCAAATTCCAACGAGATGAAACTACCCCTCAAATATTACCAAGTTATATAATAATATCGCCATATTATTTTTTCTCATGCTGACATAAATGTGAGAAAATTTTATCCAGTTTATATGTTAATGGAAATTCTTGCTTTGCTTTATCATCACCATTACAAATGATTAATTCGACGCAAACGAAGTCACGGGTACACGCTAGTAACATATAAAAAAGACTAGGCTAATGTTTTGGAGGATGTGTCAGGAGATACAAGGGGTTCAATGAGTATGTGTCTTTTCTAATATTCTTCCAATTCCGATCTAAACTGAGCTCATAGTTAGAAGGAGGGCAGTAACAGAGAAATTGACAGAAGAGATAATTTACTTTACAATTAAAACGTTGGACAGACTCTGTAGTTATACTTACAGTAACAGGATCTTTAATTAGCTCCTCTATATCATCGTAACCCAAAAATATATTTCCTCTTCCTACTCTGAACAACATTCTTTCAAAAGAAAACAGTTTTTCTTTTGGAATAACTCCAGAAATGTAACCTGAAATATGAAATATTAAAATTTTAACAATAGATTTATTAAATGAAAAACAAAAAAGACTGAGAATAAAAACAAAAAATAGCAGAAAAAAAAACAAAAAAGAAGGAAATGGAGAAAAATTATTATTCAATATTACCTAATTGAGAGGCAACCTTTCTTTCTTCAATCGAAAATTCATTTAAAATCTCTTCTTTGTTCTGGAATATCTTCTGAGCCTTGTTTAACACGTTTTTGGTCTGAATGCACTCTGTTAGTTGTTCCCTAAGGGTTATTTCTCCTTTGGTAAGTTCACGCAAGTCTTGTTCTATTTTATGTAAATGCACCTAAAAAGTAGTTCATTAAGAGTCAATTTCACTAGTCCGGAAAGGTAGGAAAATAAGCGTTTGGCATTTAACGTTTCATGTAAAACTGGCTAGGCATTTTTACACAAATAAAGAACGAAATTAAAGATAAAGGATTATACTATATCCGTATTGTAGCACATTTTTAGATAACTTCTTTATTTTTAAGATTTTGATGGTTTGGTTTTATCAACAAAATACACATTATGTTTGCACTAAATTTTCTCGAAAATAAATACATAATTTAAAGTTCCGTTACGATAGGGAAATAGATTGAACTTTTGTGATTACAGCGATGTATAATTTATATAATAGACTCTTAAAGGAAGAGTCAGTATAATAATTTATACTATGGTTAATACCATGATTCATTTATCCAGATCTACCACGACTTAAAATGCTTGCTCTTATTAGCATTAATTCCCAAGTAGCAAATTTTATTTTATAAAGGTTGTATAAACAGCTATGTGATAATTTTTATAGGATACCTCAATTCATATAACGTGCTATATGACCGTAATATGATAGCTTTACAACCAAAAAAGGCCCATTTTTATACAACCGTTTAGTAGTACAGAAGTTCTATAAAAAGGGTATACAACTCTTATGCAACTATTTTACACAGCATTATATGACTATTATAAAACTAGTTTTATTGTGTATTACGTGGTCACATCTAAGAAACAGAACAATAAAAACATTTGATCATTTAGCGAGGTACAAGAGTATTTTATTTTTTACCGAAGAATATTAGTAGCAAATTACATTTTAAGCGTGTCGTAAAATGAATCTAGAGGATGTGGATTGTTAAAAAGGAGACTTTACTAGACAATGAAAATGGCGGGTAGAGCCAGAAGGTACAACAAATATGTAATATAAAAAATCATTAATAGGGTTTGAAAAGTAGGGACAATTTTTGTTGCGCCGAAAATTTTACTGGTAGATTATTAGATTAGTATTTGGCAAAAAATTAAAGCGCTTTAATTTCGATTAAGGTTTACATATAAATTTAAACAATAAAATAAAATAAAATTTTCAAAAATTCTTGTTTTTAATTTAATTAAACACTTTATTACTGTATGTGGGAATTTTATCACAAAATAGTTCTCAAAAATAACATTTTACAATGTATTTTGATGTTTTTATTTTGCTTCATATAATGGCGGCCATAGGCCATACAAAAACTCTGCCTTAAACATGGCGAATTATAATGCAAACATTTTATTATAAATGAATCCCTTAAATAAGTCTTTGTTGTAAAATAAAACGGTATAGGATAAATATCTATCATTACGCAGAATTTCCAGGCACTATAGAACTATTTTGGACATATTGAGATTTGTGACAAATAGAGGTTGCCAAATCTCATTTGATTAGTATTTAAACAAACAAACATGATCAGATTTTCATGGATTCATGCACGCAATGCATTTCATGCGTGCCCGACGAGTGAGCGGCAACCTAAGGACTTGGAAAAACAACAATAAAACAATACAAACATTACTACAGTAAAACTTTTACACCAACGTGGCAACAATGTTTTGAAGAAGCCAGACAACCCGAGAGATTTTGGCTTTTGAGAACCCAGGGAATTCTCGGGATTATTTGCCGTAATTTCGAGGAGTTTTTTCTTACATGCTCTTTATAACTACCACTGCGTTTGTTAAGTTTTTTCCAACTTTGTCCAGAATTCATAATAGCTGTGATTGATTATACTCGTACGTAGATTTTACTTTTGCGACAACAACAATAACAAAATAAATAACTAGGTATATCATTTAAATTAAAATGAGGTTATATTATACATTACCAGTTTCATAATGCAGATATTACAGCGAATTTATTGTGTTAATCACAATTTTATCATATAAGGCTATATAACTCTGTTGTATACAGCACCGTAGTTTAACGCAATAAAACGTTCTATCATACAACGTAATACAACTTTAATAAGACAGGTTTAAGTAACTATTATATGATCTTGTGACTACTAGTTATATGAATATTATAGAACTCTTACATGGTGGGTATAAGAGTCTAATAAAATAATATGTTTGTTATCATATAGCATTGTCTTATTAAGTGTTATATCATACTAAAAGAAATTATCGTTTAATGCGTTATAGGATACGTTGTAAAAACCACTAGAAAATAGTTTAATATGACAACTTTTATTAAAAACAGAATAGTCGAAACCAAACGCTTAATAAAATCAAGCAATCCTTAAGACAAAAATCACAGATCTTCCTGGGTCTGAGTAAGAACAATCTTCGGATTGTCACGGGGTTTTTAACAGACACTGCTCCTCAATGAACACCTCAGTAGATTGAAACTAAGAAGAAACGGCGAATGCAGATTCTGTGGGGAAGATGGTGAAACACCAGTACACCTCATCACTGAGTGCGCCGAGACAACCATTCGTGCCATGAATTTTGGTACGACTGATATTGGAGATGGAGAACTACCCTCTATAAAACCGTCCCAGATACTGGCTTTTGTCAAAGCCCTGGGACTGTATGATGAGTTATGATTCAAGAAAGGGGGACACAATGGATCTGTAAGGTCGAAGTGATTAACCCCCCTCCCACTCATTCTAAATTCTAAATTCTAAATACTAAAAGAAATTATCGTTTAATGCGTTATAGGATACGTTGTAAAAACCACTAGAAAATAGTTTAATATGACAACTTTTATTAAAAAACAGAATAGTCGAAACCAAACGCTTAATAAAATCAAGCAATCCTTAAGACAACGCTATTCGACTGTTATAAAATAATTCAGTCCTTTTAGAATTTTTTTTGCTACTTGGGTTATCTTTTTATAATATTTAATTAATAGCATAATAATCCTTACCTCTAAATCTGTAATTTGTTTTGGCAATGGTGCTTTGGGTATATTAGAAATGTTCGGCACTCTAACATCACTCTTCTGGATGTGCTCATCTATGTAACGTATTTGACGTTCCATTTCTTCACATCTTCTGATATCCCTGGCGTACTCACGTTGGAATAAGTTCACATCTTCATTCAACTACAAAGTGGTAACATAAATTGTCTAGATTAATTAGTAAGCTACCTATTAAAAACTAAGTATGTTGAAACAATAATTCTTTTAAAAAAACTGTATTTATTGTCAATCAGTTGTAACGTTTATATACAGGCTGTCCGATTTTCGTGTGTTTTACAGGGTATGCTTAAAACCACATCTTTGTATCTCTACTCATAAACTGCAAATCCTGTAAAACGCCTAATGGGACACTCTATACAATATAAGATCAGTCTCGGTATTTAATAAGGATAGAAATAAAAATAAATTTAATTATTACTGACGTCTCTGAATTGTACGCATCCAACTTCACCCAATTCAGATACGACGTGATACGCAGCTTCTGGCTGGACGAAAAGCTGCGTCAAGACCATCTCCTCACTTCTAAACATGGCCCCCATTTTGATTGGTTGTTTGGCGGCCTTATCTTACTAAAAACATACCAACAATTGTTTCATAATATGTGTTTTATATGTTTTACATATGCAAATCATAATTTAGTGTGATTTGCTTCTAATACAGATTAAAATTCATTAGCGCAACTACAGGAGGGGCCGGCGGTTCCAAGCCCTCCTCTAGGTATTGCTGGGCACCCCCCAGAGAAATCTTGAATTTTGACTGAATTATGACTCTTGGCTAATTATTAATTTTTATTTGCTTGTGATATAGTAAAAATTACTTTTTCTAGTTTTATTAAGTTAATATAATTTTTTTTTTGTTCCAAAAATGTCTGTTAGTTTTTATTTTTTACAAGATTTGTAGGTATTTATGTAAACCACGGTAAAACCTGTTCATAACCAAGTCTACAAAGATTATTGATAGAGAATATCAGGTCAACCTTGTATTCAAAAAATGTGGTTATTTTTGATATATTATTCTTCATTTTTCCAAAAAAAACCCTCTCATGGGTTCAACCCTAGACCCTCCCCAGAATGAGTTGCTAGTTACGCTAATGTTAAAATCGATTTTTAAAAGTCGCTTATTAACGATGTAATATATCTATATTTTTTTGTAAAGCAGAAAATAGTCTTGAATGACTAGTGAGAAAGAAAATCTAGGTACTAGTGGGGTTGCAGTCGGAAGGGTTTGACAAAGAATTAATACACTTTGTTAATTGTCAAGCTTACGCAATTTATTCATTCCTTAATCAGGACATTGTACCACGTTAATGTCCTGAGGAAGGAATGAATAAATTCCGAAAGCTTGACAATTAACAAAGTGTATATTAATTCTTTGTCAAACCCTTCCGACTGCAACCCCACTAGTTCCTAGATTTTCTTTTTATGTAAATTTACATTTAATTTTCCTCAGTGTAGGCAAAACGACTGTTTTGCTGTCAAACTGAATGATCCAGTCAGTTCTGCAGATGAACTTAATTTAGTTCAAGTGAAATGTGCGTTTTTTCCTTTTACGGGTATACAGGGTGGTCCGAACTGTATTCCGGAAACTTATTCTAAAGATAAAAATATGTTAAAACTAGATTCGGTTTGTAGAAATTTCATTTCTATTTCGATTTTTTTTAAATAATTTTTGAAGTAACATCAATATTTGGATGAACATTGGTGTCTGGGAGTTTTTTGATATGATAAATTTGATTTTGATGTCAATATGATTTCTAATTGTAGAGGGCGCCACCTAAATATATTTTAACTCGTTTGAAGGGTAATAACTTTTTGTCCGTACCTGTATAAAACTACTGAGTAAATTAATATACGTTTATTGCATTTTTTACGTAAAAAAGTCTCTTGGTAAAGTAGTAGATAGAGTATATGGTTCTCGAGATATTTGGAATTAAAATTATCAATACCTGTCATCATTTCACATAAATTAAAAATGTTGACTAAATAGTTATTAGACTAAAATCATAAATTTGAAATGTTTTTGTAGCAAAAGTTCAACAGAAACTGTTTTATCATCAGTTTTTCGATGAAAAATTTATGATTAATTTAAAAAAATAAAGTTCTCAAATTTATCATGTTAATTTTAAATAACTATATACCGAACATGTTTATTTTTTGTCAATATTGACATGTATTGACTATTTTCATTTTAAATATCTTGAGAACGGTTGCTCATAACGATTGTTACTAAGAGACATTTTTTACGTAAAAAAAATGGAAATGTATATTTTTAGTCAGTAGTTTTTTCTACAGGTACTAACGAAAAGTTATTACTCTTCAAAACAGTTAAAAATAAGTAGGTGGCGTCTCCTACAAATAGGAGTCATATTAAGATCAAAATCGAAATTCTCATATCAAAAAACGCCCAGACACCAATATTCATTCAAATATCGCCGTTAGCTCAGAAATTATTTGGAAAAAATTACAATAAAAATGAAACTTCTACACCCTCTATCTCCGAGACGATTTTAGGACAAACATTTATAAAAACTTTTTTACTAATTTTTATCTGCAGAATACGCTGCCGAAGTTTCCGGAATACAGTTCGGACCACTCTGTATACAAGATTTTACTTGATACGTTTTGACTGACCAAGCAAGACGTAGGGTTGAAAGAAAGACAGTTTTTTTTAATTTTAACAAATTATAAATAGAAAATGGGTTTATTTTCTACATATCTGGCACACCTTAAACTAGTAAAGATACACCCTGTCAGAGATGAGAGGTTACCGTAATTTTATCGGCTGCACTAAAAGCTAAACTATTTGTAAATTACTTGCTATCTAATCAACAATGTTTACATTAAAACATCTAAAAAATTCAATAATCACTGATTTGGTTCACGTTCCATATTACTTTTTTTATAATTAAGAATCAAACTCATAATTACCACACAATACTATCTTTGAGATGATGTCTGTCAGATAATAATCCAATCTCAAGTAAATTATTTTTTATATATCAAGTAGATATATTATAACATAACAGAGAACGTGCTAAGATATATAATATGTGATTTATAAAATAGTTATAATTAATGATGATGATCTTCTGGTAATATATTTATATATATTTTGAAAATATATCAGTTAGTAATTGTTAATTTTCAAACGTTGTTCAACGGTTTTTATAGACACTTTTTTGAAGATAAAATAAAGACTAAAATAATACAATAAAGAAGAAATAATATTAATCTTCATTTTCAACCTCATAGTTATTAGCATAAAATAATATTTTCCTCGTTAATATCTAAAGAAAATTAAACAGCCCTTCTAAGACAAAATGTCGTGATCCTGGATTGGACCACCGTCGTCACCAATCTTGTAGTCGCTGCCACCAAATGTTGTAGTTCTCTATTTGACTCGTATCACCACTTGTTGGGAATGTTATTCTTTATTTTTTTATAATTAAATTCTTACTAAGTTGTTATTACTTTTTATTTTTAAACTTTTAATACAAAATTTACGTTTTCTAGTTTTGTTTACTTAATATTATTTTGTTGTGTTCAAAAAAATGTGTTAAATTTATTTTTTTTAGAAAATTTATAGGTATTGGGCGGCAGAGCCGTCAGGAAACGACCGTTACGACGGAGACAGCCTATCTATCGCTCGTGTCGCACTCGTTAGAGCCAAAAACAATAACACAACAATAACAAGACGTTGTCTGTCCGCATCTTCCAGCTATTTATGAATGAGATGCTCAGTCTATATTTTATTCTAAGTCTATGACTAAAACATTTCGGTCTGTAGTCTGTAGAGGCCAGATTCCTACCTCTACCTATCTACGATAGTCGAGGCATCGCCTTCGCCGTTTCGTCCGTGCCCGGCTCGGGTACGGCCCGGTGTACCATGAATCAGCCTTAATGCAAATAAATGATTCGTCTTAGACCACACTATCACCCCCGCTGTTTAAATACAGGGTGTCTCAATATTCCGTGGACATAGAACTACTACGTATTTTTGGAATCAAAATAAGTTTATTAGGCTATACAAAAATGCTTCGATTGTCCGCTAGAGGGCATTATACTTTAAAAAAATAAACACATTTTTTAAGATATTTTAAGAACTAATATTCCGATTTGAATGAGATTTGACGTGCTTATTGTTTTGGTAAGTGCTTTATTATTTGACATTCACAAAAATCAAGAAAAAGTATGGGAAGGGTGAGAACTACCCCCTACTATCCCTACTATAAATTTTAGTATTTTTCAATAAAGCTAAAGTTTCAATAAAAGCTGTCCCCTAGCTTCTAGCCACCCTATCTCGGTTAATTTTGCTTTGAGCCAAAAAAGTATGTAAAACTGAACGCTCTACAACGCACTTTTTTTGTAGTCCTTACCGTTTCTCCGAAATTGCGTGAAAAAAATATTTTATTTATCTATTTCACCCTTCTGGGGTGAAACAAATCTTTCGCAATTCGTTTTTAGATTTTGCAAACTAATTTATATCAAAAATTCAAGTTTTTACCAAAACTTCGTATTTGAAGGCCTATTTGCTTCGACTATAATATAGTATATTAAGAATACTTAATACATAAATGGTAACCATAGGAAATTAGTAGGTATTTAATTTAAAATTAAATAATTAAGTAATATGGAAAATTCACTTTACTTACTGCGAAACACAAACACTAATGCACACACTGTCTTTTAAGCATATTACTCTACACCTCAATCACGGCATCATATGACATTCTTTATCAAAACACTTAAATGTTAGTAAGACTGATAAAACAAGTAAAACAATTATTTCTAAGGGTTTTCACAATTAATACGTACATAAGAATCTAGTAATCAAACATTGATCTAGAAGATACACAATACAACGACATGTTGACGTTTTTTTCACCACTAATTTTATACTTTATCTGTTTATTCCACTTTATCGATAGTAATAAATGTAAAAAATACAAATATATTTCAGATAATTTATTGACAAACATATACTTTATTATAGAAAAAAAATACCGTCACAGTAACATTTGAAATGGCAGTGGATGATAATTTCTCTCAGGACAAACATCTATTTTTCAAAAAATAATTTGTATTGGGAAGACACTTGTGGTTTTTTAATAAATGGCACATAGGGCTCAGCCTGACGGAAACTATCAGCGATTGTCATTTCACAGGCCATTATGACACTGTTTTTTTTTAATGTATTCACTTTTTTTTATTTTACAAATTATATTATACAAGTAAAAATATTCATTATTCAAACAAACTAAAAAATGTTAAGAACTGAGATTCAATACTAAATTAAATAAAGGTAAGTATTTTTTTATCAACCTCCCATGTTGCACGTAATTATCAGTACGTGATTGGAAAAAAATCACTGTTAATACTAGTATTTACACATTTTTATTAGTTTTTGGAATTCTTACCTAAATTAATCTAAAATATGGCAATGTAAAGGTGCGTACAGACCTGAGGAGGCGAGAGCGAGACAGCGGTCTTGCGAGACAATCCAAGATGTCTCGTTGCTATTCGTCTTCTGTCGGTTTTTCGACGGGCGATCAAAGAAATCTCGCGGCACAGTCTGGACACAGGTCTGGACATGTTTGTGGTAGGCTAGCTCGACTGCGAGACATCAGTGCATGCTATACATAGTTTGCTTGGCTCTTGCATGCTCTCTCAAAAAACGGAAGGAAGCAGTCTCTCGCTCGTCCCGCTTTTGTCTCGTCAGGTCTGTACGCACCTTAACGTAGCCGGTGAAATTAATAAAATATTATTATTATTACGTTACCTAAAAAAACAAAATAAATCACAAAACGTGTAAATATTAAAAAAATTGTCTGTACACTATGTGCGCATATTTGAAGTGAAATTTCTTTTTACTTCGGTCTGTCTGTCTGTCCGTCTGTCCGTCTGAGGACTCCATTCGGGTACCTCTATCCACGTTTCCAGTTTGGTTCCAATCTACTCATAATTAAGAAAAATCCTGATGATTTCGTCCATTTTGAGACATCTGTTCGAAACGTCGAGGGCGTTATCCTGTAGCCAGTCTCCAATTATGCCGAAATCAACCCACATTCTTCTTCAATATCAAATTGTTAGTCCCACCCTGATGTAGATGTAAACAAAACTTTGCAGGGTGAGACCGTGTGCACCGTCGCTTACATAGTCTACCCACCAAATTTGGTCGCGATCGGACGACATCAACTTTTAACGTTCCTTACCTCAAAACTAACTGTCATAGTGATACGTGTGGTACACGGTCAAGTTCGTCTTGGTCCAATCTATCGACTTACTAAATTCCATCTAAAGGTTGATTCTCACTATACTTTCCATATCAGCTCCCTTCCGTTTCCCTTCCGTTTACATAAAATATTATAAAAAAAATTAGTGAACACCATAACTTTTTCCCATGATTCACTAAAGCAAATGAGAATTTACACAGTTTCTTCTTCAAGCCCGTAGCATTAGATGAGCTCCGTAGTACAATTAAAAGTGTTAAAAATAAGTTCTCGTCTGGGACTGACTCTCAAAATGTTCTCTGAACTTCCGGAATGCACGTTAATCTATCTTACTACTTTAATTAACGAGTCATTCCAAAAAGGAGTTTTTCCAAACTGCCTTAAGACAGCAATAATTATTCCTCTGCATAAAGGAGGAGATAAAGATCAAGCTTCGAACTATCGCCCAATTGCTCTCCTGCCTACATTATATATCATTGAAAGATTGGTTAAAAAAAGGTTTCTATCTTTTTTCCTTAAATATAAAGTACTTTCTACCCATCAATTTGGATTTCTAAGTAACAGTTGTACAAATGATGCTATGTTCGACCTTTTTAATAATGTATACTCAAGCCTGAATAACCATCACTCTACAGCTACAATTTTCTGTGATTTCTCTAAGGCTTTCGACTGTGTAAATCATAATATCTCAATTAACAAATTGCAATACTATGGATTCAGGGGAGTGGCGCTCGAATGGCTTAAGTCGTATCTTGGCAACAGAAGAGGATTTATACGTTGTGAGGATTGATACGTCTATGTCTTCTTGTAAGCCTATACTATACTGATAGAATGTGGTGTCCCTCAGGGTTCAGTACTTGGCCCTATTTTGTTTCTGGTGTTTATCAACGACATTGTAAATCTAGACATTAGCGGTAAAATCTGCCTCTTTGTGGACGATACTAGTTTCACTTGGAGCGGCCCAGATGTTACGGCACTACATAATACTATATCCAGTGACTTACGCACCATTAAATCTTGGTGCGATTCTAATCTCCTATGGCTCAACCTTTCACAAAATAAAGTTTTGTCATATAAAATTACTATACAACCTTTTGTACTTAATAACACCACTATTGACGTCTTGAACTCTGTAAGATTCTTAGGACTTGTAGATAACTCGTTAAAATGGGACTTGCACATCGAAGCTTTATCAAAGAAACTAAGCGCTGCCTGTTTTGCGCTAAGATCAGTTTCTAAGGAATTTAACTATCAACCTCTAGAATGGTCTATTATGCCCTTTTTGAGTCGCATCTGCGTTATGCCCTTCTATTCTGGGATACTTGCTGCGCGACAAAATTTGATCGTATTTTCAAACTTCAAAACAGAGCAGTTCGATACTTATTGAGACTGAACAGTAGAACTCAATGCCAGAATTTCTTTAAAAATTTCAAACTACTGACTCTTCCTTCCTTATTCATTTTTGAATCCGTTTGCTTAATCCGCAAGCACATATCTGCTATTCCGGAAAGGCCTTCTCACAACTATCCACTTAGGAATGCGGAGCACGATATGTATCTGCCAACCCCGAGCTCAGAACTAGTTAAGGGCACAATACTATACAATGCCAAGAAAATGTACAATCATCTGCCTTTGAATAACAAGTCGCTTTCATTCTTTCCCGCATTTCGCATGTTTAATCATGAACAATTTTGAATTTTAAAATTTTGATTATCTCACACACTGGTTAAAGGTATTTAATATTTAATATTTTATAACTCTTGATTTTATGATATATAACATGATTTTTTCCATTTACAGTTTTCCTTTTGTAAAATTTTCTAGGTACGCCTTTGTTCTGCAATGTCCATGTATGTTTTATTTGTACTTTTAATGACGTAAATTTTTTTGAATTGATTTGTATTGTATGACATTTTTTTATTATTTGTATATTTGTTTTTGTGTTTTTTTGTTTTGTGAATCTTCTTCTGTCTGCTTCTCCAGTGGACATTCTGCTTTTCCCTGATCCAGAGTTTTAGTGCACTACGGGCCATACATTTGGGTATTCCCAGTACTGGCTCTGGACTAAGATAGGATCCGATGATCCTTGCCTAGCTAGCTCATCGGCTCTTTCGTTGCCTTGGATGCCGCTGTCTGTTCCTTCGAACCAAAGCTCCCTGTTCACCTAGGCATTCCCAGACGAGTCTCGACAATACCTTTGGGCTCATAAGTGCCCCAAGTGCCGCCTGACTGTCTGAGCATATTATATTCCGTTTCCCTTCCTTTCCATATCCTTTCCTTCCATTCATTTTTTTGGCGGACTAAAGCGTATTGGAAACAGCGTTGTCAAGTTCTTACATTTGTACCAGCTCTGTTATTATTTAGCGTGAATACAATAAAAAATACGGAACGGATATGGAATGGAAACGGAAGGTATAGTGAGAATCAACCTTTAAATGGACTATTTTTTGATTTGATTCATTGACGATTGGGTTTCGTAGCACATGATACGTTCAATCCGAGTTTCAGACCCCTAACTCACATAGGGCCCGAGTTACGACGCTCCGTCTTAACCTCCGATCGTTAACACTTTTCCTGACGCTTCTCGTATGTCACGGCCCTCAATTTTTACTCCCGTCGTGCTTAAAGAAGTTTCAATTCAAAAAAATTCTTCACTATCAAATATTTACTTAAAATAAAACGACTAAACTTGGACCAGACCTCAGTCATTATGAGTCAATTTCCTTTTCAACATGATTCTCTTTTTAACGAAATTTATAAACTTTACAAACTGAACAAAAGGAAAATAAAACTGCAGCATTACTTGCAACAAACTAAATATATTGTACTTTAAAGAAAACAATACATCTTCAAAATAAAATTCTATAGACTAAAATATAATCAACGACAAAAATAAAACCTTTTTTAAAGAAGAAAATCGTTTTATTAATACTTTAAAATCGCAGATTTCTCTACACGAACAAAACAAAATTTAAAATGAGAAAATTAATCTTCTTTATTCACCACCTTCTTCCTCTGCAGCCAGGATGGCCTTGAAACTGAACGGATCGAAGGCGTAACCTTCACCGCTGTAGAATTTCGACATGAATTCTACCCAGTGAAGACGCAGCGTGTGAAGGAAAGCAGATAATCCTTCCATCAATACTAAGATGGCCACTGTGAACACAGCCCACACAGCGAAAAAGATGTAGACAGTGATGCAGCCTGTGAACCCTTCTCGCTTCAGTCCCATTTGGAAGACCATGTTCCATAATACTTCTGATAGTTCTAGAAAAAGAAAAAGATACTGTCAAATATTTATCTCTATACTCTTGTGACAGGTTCACTACAGGAAAGATTTGAATATTTCACTACCGACACAAAAAATATTGAAGTATCAATAGCGAAATACCCAAATATTTTCTATTACTATTAAAAATTATTATTATACAGGGTGTTTCCAAAAACATGTGCCATCTCTCGTTTGGAGATTCCTCACGTAAAAATAAGATTTATTTTTCATATCAACATAGGTCCGATTCAACTTTTTTTCGTAGCTACAGTGTGTTATAGTCTTAATAATATTTCGATTTATTATAATTTTCTTCCAAGTACTTTCAGTGATTCGAATGAAATTTTGAGGGTAAAAGTTACTATAAGTGCTCTACCTATATTTTAATGCTAAAACAGGGCCGATAAATTCATAAGTGACGTGCATATGCGTTATTACTGGAATATTTGTAAAAAAAACATGTGCGCCACTGACTTTTTTTCTTTTGATATCAAAATTGTGTAGGCCGTTTAATGCAATTAAACGTATCTCTTGATATTTTCTCAAATTCCACCTTCTTGATGAGATAAAGGCAATTTCATTAATCAAAATTAATAAAATTAAAATAAAATTAATGAATTATATATTTTATCTAATTTATTATTAAATATTATTACTATTAGGTATTATTACTATTAGTCCAACCTACAGTAATTTCAAATAAAAAAATAGTGGTATGTAAGATAATTACAAAAAAAACTAATTTTAAAAAGTTTTAACATCCTGTAACTCTAAAACTATGCATTTCCATACCCATGTGCATAGGAACATTTTTTCGTATTTTTTGATGAGAAATCAACGAGTACTTATTTAAAACTTTCGCAAGTTAATAATATTAAACATTTTTAAATGTTGCCATTACACTTGTATCAAGGAAAATTATTAATTAATTTGAAAGAAAATTATAATGAATCGAAAAAATATTAAGACTTTTACACCCTGTATAGGTACGAAACAAAGCAGAATCGGACGTATGTTGATGAAAAATAAATCCTATTTTTACGTGAGGAATCTCCCCACGAGAGATGGCACATGTTTTTTGAAACACCCCGTATATCCACAAAAATAATAAACAACAGAATACAAAACATGCTAGACGCTACACAACCACGAAAACAAGCTGGCTTTAGAAGCGGCTTCAGCACGATTGATCACGTACACACACTAAGAGAAGCTATCAGCCGAACAAAATAATATGAACTTCCTTACGATATAGCCTAAGGCAATAATAGAAGCCCTAGCGAAACAAGGTATTGCCAGGCCTTGTATAGAAATTCTCGTCAATATATATGTTACAGTAAAAGTTGGAAATAAGTGATTGTTAACAATTACTAGTAAAAGCTCACATTCACTGATTTGCTCACACTACGCCATCCAAGTACTGTGCGGTATTTTCCCCATGGAAGAAATTTTCTGTGAAAAATTATGGTAAACTAGGCACTCGCAAGAATTTAATAGTGCTTGTTTTTCAGTTTTACAATATAATGAAGTCATAGCAAAAGTTAAGGGCGCAAGAGAAAAATATATTAAGGAACCTAGTGACTATGAATTTATTAAACGTTTTGATATGCTTGAAGTAGCGGGTTTGAAAAAACGAATAACTCCCGTTGACGAAAATTCGGGCATACTTTATTTTGTCCACGATGAAACGAACTTTATTAAAAAACCTTGTACCCCAGAATATCTAGCTAGATATTCTGTGCTTGTACCAATACATAATCTTATATTTATGAATGTTTTTTTTAATTGTTTTGTACGCTTTAAAATGTTTACTATGTTTTCTCTTTTAATATTTAGAAGGTTGTGTCGTTATTTTCTATAATTTTTAATAGACATACTAAAAAAGTAAGTAGTTTTTTAGATATGTGGATCAGCTTGAATATTGATGTGATCCAATATTCTTAAAAGTTTTATTTGTTCTAACTTCCACCAACATTCTTCCTTACCACACTCGCCCTGTACAACAGAATAACTTTTACTGGCAACCTTTAGTAAATGTTACTTTCACTAGTAAATGTTAGAAATTACTAGGAAAAGTTGACTCTCTGAAGAAATCTCTTTAAAATATCACTTTCACTGTTCCAATGCTTCATTGCTAGCATTTCCTAGTGAATGTTAACAGTCACTGTATTTCCGACTTTCACTGTAACATATACAAAGAAGCCAAAGCAAGAGTAATGATATATAAAAACAACCCCAGAGTTCCCAACTTGCCAACCCAAAAATCCCCAAAGCTTGTAACGTTTTTAGTTCGTTACATGTCTTTTTTACATATAATATATGATGTCTGGGCTTATCGTCACCGGATTCCCTCTCGTTCAGGCCTGATCATTTTGTTGGTACGCTTGGCGTAATTTTTACGTTCCCTAGTCGCCAACCCTGCTATCGTTTCACTATTCTGTGGAGGCGCGCGCTGTCAACATCTCTTCTGTCAACTCTCTGTGATTTAACGGCACTTTTGGTTTGACCGTTTGGCCTGTCAGACGCCATTAGTCCCAGTGTTTTTAGAAACGGTGATTATTTAAATCTTGCTGTATAATCTGAATCAGCTGCTATTTCGAGGCTACAGGGTAGAGTTACAGATGTCCCAACTTGTATTTGTATTTTGCTGGCACGTTGGCGTCCCTTTTCTTTTGTCCTCCAGAATGTCACATGGAAGAAATGACAGGATGTTTATTATTTATTGAGCCCTCGGAAGTATTTCGAGGGTCCAAGGTACGGGTAGTGTCTTATGTATGGACATTATCTTATGTACAGATGTCCTGTGGACGAGTATCCCCAGTAAGAATGATTTTTTTTACATATAAGTGCCACAGCGTGGATGTAGCTTGAGTCCCATGCTGCTTCGTTCCCAGCTAGGGAAAGACGCTAGTTACGGCTGTATCAATTCATGGTGTCCTCATTCTGGCCCCTTTGGTTGTGTTGAATGGCTGAGTACAGAGATGCGAGACCACCTCACGCTGTTACTGTTTAAAGCAAGATTACATAAAGAACAGCTAAGTGTAGATTTAAGTTCTAGTTTTACATTTAACATTTAAAACATTTACAGTCTTAAACAATAACGTACATCTTAAATAATATCGTACAGACTATGTTTAGTGGTTAGATTGTTAAGAACATTCATGTCGATTTAATATTTAATATAATAATTAATACTAAATACAATTTAGATCTTAGGTTTCATTGCATTACATCTTGTAATGGTATTACTTTTATAGATATTATTATCGCACTATTTTAACAGATGAATAACCAAACATAGATTCTAGAATCGACAGGTTGCAACATCTTCGATTTAGCATCATATGGAATATATCGAATTAATTAAAGTAATGCTACATTTCATACATTCTCTTAAACTTTACATGTCTTGTATTTTATCGTAGTTGTTTCCATTGATATTTAGTACGACTCTTACCACCACTTTCTTTGACATATAACCACTATATATTTATTAGAACTCTACAATATCATGTACCATCTAAGAACATCATGAATAAATATAGTCATTAGTTTTAAGTAATATAAACAAGGGTAATATACAACTGTGTTTTCTTTCTCTGTACATGCCTGGCGCCCAATATTTATAATTTCGAGTTATTATTGTTAATTAGTTTCTTTCCAGTGAAATACCTGATCCACGACTGTTCTACCAACGAAAAGCTGCCGTTCGCAGTGATAATGTTTTAAAAAAACGCTACAAGCTGTTTACAGGAATACTAGAAGAAATCTTCCGTCAACTGGACTGGACCAACAAAGGATTTAAAACAGATGAATCTAGGAATATCTTAACCATCTAAGATTCGCTGATGACATAGTCTTAATTACCAATAGTCCTGAAGAACTACAAGCACAAATTAACGAACTAAATACATCCAGCAATAAAGTAGGTCTCAAAATAAATTTAGCAAAAACTAAAGTAACGTACAACAAACTATTAAACAGAAAATACTTCTAATAAATAACACAACACTGGAAACAGTAGAAGATTAGAACAACTAATACATAGCTCGGGATCTCTACTACAAGAAATCAACAGAAGAATTAAGTTAGCATTGAGTACTTATGGAAGAAACTCAAATATATAATATAAATTAAGATTAAACTTGTACTTACGTGAATGAGCAAGTGACAACGCCCACAACCGGAGATATGAGGCCGTGTGCGAAATGGTACCCAGCACGTATTCAATGGTATGAATGGCGGAATGCACCCAAATTTCACCCATAGGTTCCTCCTCTGGTTCCTCTTCTTCATGCTGATGGCTCACCTGAGTTTGACCAGCTGGCGCATTGGGATCTGTGCTGTTTTCTGTCACTTCGTTCATTTCGAGACCTTGGTTAATGTCACCATTTCTTTTACCCTGATTGCCCTGTTAAGAATAAACTCTCAGAAAAATATAATAAATATACAAACCTGTAGATCCAATCAAACTTACGTTTATTTGTGGCTTCTGAGTCTTCTTTCTGTTAACCATGATGTAAATTGGTTTGCCCAGCAACATGTATGGGATGCAGAGCAAGGCGAGTAGGACCAAGATCCTCTGGACATCGCCTTGTGATTCGAACATGTATTCGTCGCAGTCTTTTTCTGGGTCCCTGTTTTTGAACAGCATCATGTTGATGAAGTAGATCAAAACAGAAGGTGCGCAAGAAGAGCCGAGTTTTGTGTCTGAAAGAGTATAGGTGCGCTTAGACGAGTCAAGTCTCAAATCAACTGATAAAGTTAATTCATTTCGTATGAATTTAATATCATGTCAGTTGTTCAGGCTAGCTGATTCATGTCTCAGCTGACTACGGTTTAACTTTCGGCTTTCAAGTGATGTTTTTAGGTGGTCAGAAGTAAATTTTGTGAAGTTTTAATGAAAAATATGAATCCGAAATAAAGAATTAGGTGAAGAAGAGTAATTTATATAGCTTATGCCGAAGGAAAATAGTGTTAAACTTTAATGTGTTCTTAAATTCTCCTATTTTGAAGTAATAAATGGTTAATTCGCTGAGTTTTATGTTTTGCTATGAAGTACTAGAAAAATTTATTTTTATACTATGTATATCGCAAAATCCAAACACTAAATCACCACAATACACCAAAACACTTTTACTTTTACCAGAGAATATCTAGCTACGCAACAGAAGCCTCGTTACACGTATAAAATCGTAGGTATCAAAAGGAGACAGGTTTTAAAAGCCTGTCTCCAAATCAGACATTTTGATGCGGTAGTTTTGCTACTACATAATAGAGGGCGATAAATTTAAAGGAAAACAGTTTTCTACAAACGAAATTTAAACGAATTTTATGCAGTGTTGCCGTTGTGCAATTCATATTGTAATACTTCCTTATAAAGCCTGCATCATTTAAACATATTAAAATAGATCAGAGCTCTTTTTTCAAACGTTTAGGTATTTAAATTGCCATGTTAGTAAGAGTTAAATCTTAGAGCTGAATTATAATTACTTTGTGACGTTTGATTGTAATTAAATTTCCTCGATTGGACTTATACTTGGTATAGTAAGTATCTTCGGTGACATTGTAATATGATGGTACTATGATGCATATAAAGTGGTACCTTCTATAGTACCATATAATGATACCACTTCCTGACGTTCGATTGGGCTCATATTTGATTATACCTGCGTATTTTTTATGACATTGCAATATTATGGTACCATGAAGCATATCAAGGGGTACCATAATGTAGTACCATATTACGATACCATTTCCTGGCGTTCGATTGGCCTTAAACTTTGTATGATACGTATGTTCGGTGACACTGTAATATGATGGTACTTTGATGCATATAAAGTGGTACCTTCTATAGTACCATATTATGATTGATTATACTTGCGAATTTTTGATGACATTGCAATATTATGGTACCATGAAGCATATCAAGAGGTACCATAATGTAGTACCTTATTACGATACCATTTCCTGGGGTTCGATTGGGCTTAAACTTGGTATACTACGTATCTTCGATGACATTGTAATATGATGGTACTATGATGCATATAAAGTGGTACCTACCTATAGTATCATATGACGATACCATTTCCTGGCGTTCGATTTTGCTTAAATTTGGTATACTATGGATCTTCGGTGACATTGCAATATTATGAAGCATATCGAGTGGTACCATAATATAGTACAATATTATGATATCATTCCCTGGAGTTCGATTGGGCCAAAATTTGGTATACTTGCGTTTCGTTTTAAAGATTTGTTTAATTAATAATTTTAATTTATTTTACGAATTTTAATTTATTGTACGATGTCGTGACAGCAACTTTTATGCCGAACTAATATATTATTAATTGTACCTGTGTCACTTTTTAAAATCTACCTAGGTCTATATAAATAACGTGGCAACAGAAGACATTTGTTCTTATAGTATTTTTTTAGTCAATTAACATTTCTTATACTGCATTTTAATAAATTATTTCCATTATTATTAAACATATATTTCATTACTAACGTTTCAGCATTAATAAATATCACTATCAATCGCCCTGTATATTATTAATTTTAAAGGTAATTAAAGGTATTTGCTTAGTTAACATAATAAAGTAGTGTATTACATATATTAAAAATGTATTTTGTGAGCATATGTTTTCTAATAATATACTTAAACTTAAAACTATTTTAAAAGCCAAACGATAATTAATGTAAGGGTATCTGACAAGAAACGAAGAATAGAAAGAAATTATTATACACCAGAAAAAGAATGGGATGCCAATTAAAGTCTTTTTGAATCTGGCAACTGTGCATCTTTAGCCGAGCTTCAAGGCCGTCGACGTGCCGTCGATCTAAAACCGAAAATTGAAAATTTCCAATTATATTCTGATTATGATATTGTCGCGCCATCTAGTATTTTATTTGTGCAATTTTAGCTCTTTCATTTCGAGTATTTTTCTGTTGCGTAGCTAGATATTCTGTGCTTTTACACTGGACGCGCGTTTCGTTAACCATGTTAGCATCATCAGCAGATGATTAAAAAACTAACCTACAATCTACAATTCGACTTTTGAAGTGGAGAAAGATACGTCAAAATATTTTTCAATACCGTTTCATAGAGAGTTATCCCGTGGTCTAAAAGGAATTTTTAAGAATGTCAATTATAAATTTGTGTCTAGTGCTAATAATAAATTACAACAATTATTAGGTAATCCAAAGGATAAAACACCTCCAATGGAAAAAAGGTCGGGTATTTATGAAATTTCTTGTAAAGATTGTAATCAGAAATATGTTGGGCAAACTAGAAGATCAATATTAACTAGATTTAAAGAACATTTAGCTCAGATAAGATATGGTAGACCGGATAAATCTTGCGTTGCCGAACATATTGTTGATAAAAAACATTGCATAGATCTTAATAATTTAAAATTAATTAAACAAGTCAAGTCAATTAAGATGCATATGAAAGTATCAGAATTAATAAATGTAAAGATAGTATGAACAGAGACAACGGTCCAATTCCTTCAAGTTCTTTCTAGTTCCTACTACTCTAGTAGCGGAAATCTAACTGTTACGCTCGGTGGGCTCTGACTCGGTTGGCTAGATCTTGTCACGCCCACACGTTGCCCACTAAGTGAGTATATAAACGCCCAAGTTGTAGATTGTAGGTTAGTTTTTTAATCATCTGCTGATGATGCTAACATGGTTAGCGAAACGCGCGTCCAGGGTAAAAGTAAAAGTGTTTTGGTGTATTGTGGTGATTTAGTGTTTTGATTTTGCTGTGTAACACCAAAGGTTCCAACCCTCAACTGTAACTATGTATATCGTAAAAACGTACCTATATGATCGTACTGTCCAGAATATATGATCCATTTCATGAACATCATGATAACCATCCACAAGAAGAGGAATGTCAATAACAGTATCTGTGGGATGAACTGAAGAATCAACTGCATCTTTTGCTTGAAATGACTAAAAAAGGTTTACAGATATAACTAATTATAAAAATAGAGTGCATCTAATTTAGATATAATCACAGAACACAAATAATAAATGTAGTTAAAATGCTCTAAATCGATACCAAATAAACTTTCAGATACGTCATCATTACTGATTACTGAATTCATTGTTGCCAACCAGGCGTATTAGATGCCGGGCTGACTAACTGGAATTTAACCCTCGAGTACTCGCGCGGCGAAAAATTACACCAGCGGTCGCATGCGATACATTTGTAACCCTATGCAAAGCTATTGTATTTAGGTGGAAAAATTAGCGTAATAATATATTTTATGAGAAATAAAATATATATTTACGAAAAAAATACTGTATTATGAACACAGACGAAAAAACAAAAACATGCAATTCATATGAATATAAAAAAACTGATATTGCTCGATTTTAATTTTCTGTGCATTTAACACAAAGCGTTGGTAGCTCCTTTTTATGTTCTAAGCAAATCCACTTGCTACATGAAGATCAATACTTTCTGGCCCTCTTATCTTTTTTCTAGGACACAAATAACATCGACTATTTCCGGTTTTCAGCCTCTTTGCTTGCTGGACTTCCACGGAAGTTAAACGTTCTTGAATAGTGAGTACCATCCGGCATTTTTCTCCTATGCACCCCTGAATCCATTTACTCGGACCCCTTCTTGCCAATTTGTTGAGCTAATACGAAAAGGACATACGTAATAATATAATAGAAATTAATATTTTCGTAGGCCTTTGGCTACAAAGCAAAATGCTTTGATATAAAAAAAATTAACATTTTAGGCTTGAGTTTGGGATTCATAAGTCATTCTTATTATTCATCATATATTTATTAGTCATTATATTTTCATTCACAAGTCATTTTCTTATTAATGATATAAAAAAAACTTGCAAAATGGCAATGATTATAAGACGACATAAAGGGTCGCGCTGGAAACACCTGTATCCCACAGCAATACAACACACGTAAACACGGTAAAATCCAAAAGTAGCACATCCACAATAATACTAGTGGCACAAGCAAAGTGTGATAAAAGAATACCTAGAGGCATGTAGGCAGCTTCGTTTCAGTGTCGGCGCATGCGCGTTTTTGACATGCGTGGGATACGTCTGTATCCCACGCGAGTACTCCAGGGTTAAATTTCCCGCTGACGATTCAGGTGGTAGCTCTGCTGTAAGAAACCGCAAGTTTCCACATTTATTTATTTAGTTTCTGACATTTTGATGCGTTATGACACTTAGTTGTGTATTCGAGTTTTCGGTTTAAGCAAATTTTGTTGTAATGCTTGAAATTTTTTAACTAGCAGACACTGCAGTGGAAAAGTGTTCTTTTTAGAACCGGTTGTAGTGCGAAGTGTACAAGATGCTGAAGCAGTTTAATAGCCTTTGCGAAAAACTCACCGCAACCTTATTAGAATATTTTGAACGGGAAAGTGATAATAATAGCCCTTTATTTCCCTCAAGTGCTGTTAAGGAGGTGAGTTTTGCTGATGTAAATAATAAATGTTTATTTATTTATAATTAATTCATTTTTGTGTCCTAAAATATTCTGATTAAAAGAAAATATGTGGAATTCGGCAACGCTGTGCCGGGCAAGCTTAATCACGTGACTAAACGTTTATTTGGTATTATCTATACATATAAAAAACATTAGCAAAAGATTTTTTTAACTGAAAGCTTTAATAAACGAAACATTAATAAACAACAATGAAAATTTTTTTTCATCCAAAAGATGTGAAGCTACTTACATGTAATTGAAGGTGCTAACGCAGACACCAAATATCATGTGAGCCACGCCAAAGATAATTGACAGCTTCATTTTGAAGGAATTGCCAAAAATAATTTTGTTCTTTGATACCTGCAATAATATATGTAAAAATTATTATCGATTCAGTTTATAGTTTCTAATATCTATCACTAAAAATCAAGACATTGAACAAAAAAGCATTGAAACAACTACAGTGATCCAAGTAGCGATCTAAGACACATCTGATAACCAAAGAGAGGAAACTATAATCGGTCAGCAGATAATATAGAATTAATAGAGCATTATTGTAAGATCAACAGGTTAGAGAACGGCAAAGATTGAACAAGTCGTTCATTAAAACGAGTATTAAAAATTAATCGTGAGATTCAAAGAACGAGTCGTAAGAATTGAATCGGATCACAATGCGACTCGTTCGCTTCTACTACTTCACAGGCCTTTGAAGCTGATGGTATTAACACGTGCAGATTCTGTAAATCACCAGAAGAAACACAGATGCGCAAAAAAGACCCGATCCATATATTTTAATTCTCTATAACCTTGCAATGCAAGTTCAGCCAAAGGTACCCTGTATGTTTTAGAAAATGATAAGCATCTAGAATTACTATATGTATAACTTAAAAAAAACATAGTCGACGTATGTTTGAGATGGATTATCCTTATAACTTTATAGCTATAGAAATATGTTCGTATCAGGATCAATATTGATTTTGCTTAGTTTATTTATTTTGATAATTTTAGAGCGTGTGAACCAAAGTTTTAAGTTATTTTAAAACCGTTATTATACTAAGTAGACTAATGTTTACAACATTAAATTTGATGCAAATTTTAAGTTTGATAAACAGGAGTTATAATTATATCAACAAAATCTACATTACACTCATTCTTTTCATGAAACATATTCTTAATTTCTTTGCCTTGTCCAAATTCAATTCAAGAATTTTGTTGCAACTATAATTTTAGTAGATATAATGTAACAGTAATTTTATATTTTCCTTTTCATTTTTTTTATGAAAAAATGCTAATTGAAGTGTTTTTGAAAAACTAAATTAATTGTGTGCGAATTTTTGATAGATTAATAGTTATTTTTATACAAGACGATAAAATGGTATTTTATCGTTGACCGAGAATTAATTTCGGGAGACGATAATACAATTTTATCGTCGTGTATAAAACAATATTTTTTTCCATAGCGAGTTACGTTTTAAAAAATATTCATAAATTATTATTTCAAAGAATTTATTACGAGTAGAAAAAATATTGTGCTGGGTTGGCGTTGGTTTCTATGTAATTTGACAAATAAATAAAGTTGTCTCTTTAGTTGTCAGTTTTGAGTCAATATTTTTTAATTCTCTTTCGTGTCGACTGCTGATTGAATTGGAGCCAGAAATGGCTCAAAACGAAATAAGTAAATTACCAACAGATATTCATGCTCAGACTTCCATTTAAATCTCGAATAACTTATGAAATGGAATACAAAAATTTTCAAAAATGAAAGAGAAGAAGTAAAGTTTTTAACTTATGCGGTTAAAGTACTATATTATCTACTATTTTTGATAGATATAAGGTAATTTTAACGCAGTTGCTATGGAAAAAAATTTTAACAGTTGCTATGGAAAAAAATAATTTTTTAATATTAATATTTTTTTTAATGAAATACATTATACTCAAAAATAGTTTTTCAGTATAAATTAATTCTATTTTTTATATTTTATCAGAATAATTCTGTTAAACACACGAGGTTTGTGAAATCCCCTGTATACTAATATAAATATACTGACCTGCCAGACAGGATCCATACCAATAAAGTACGGTTCTCCTATATAATTCTCTCTGGGTGTAAACTGCCCTTCAATGGTGTCATCTTCATGGGTAGGCAACGTGAAACCTTCTCCAAGAGCTGTCTCGTTCACCTTCCAACTTGAGCCGAAGATATTCATGGACTTTGAGAACAAGTCATTGTACACAAACCTAATAGAAACGTTGGAGATACATTAAAATATCGTATTTTTGAAAAAAACGGTGTCAAGTAACCTTTGAAATAATCAAATCGGTAATAATTTTTGTCGTACTGAGCTCTACATTGCAAATTTGATAAAAAAAACTCATATTTAGGTAAGTTTCGATCTTTTGAAAAATTTTATGTTAGTTTCTAAAAAAAATAACCACAACCTTCGTGAAGATAAAGGCCTGCTATAACGATTTATGTCGTCACGAAAGTAGTCAGACTTATTGCATTGTGTTACTATGGGTTTAACATGAATATTGATGTTTATTGATAATTTTCCGTGTTATAAAAATGAACACACTAGTGAAAAAAAACTTTTAAAAGGTAAAAGTTACTGTTTATCACCTTAAACTGATAGATTACAAGCATCAATATGAATCAAAAAATAAATGTGGCCTTTTTAATACCACTACATAAGATAACCTAACAAGAAAAACCTTGACAAGTACTGTCTTACGTCATAATTTCAAAGGCCACTATACAGATTACAAAAAAGTTATTACCCTGTATAAAACGAGAATATTCCCATGAGAAGTATAATGTAACGACCTCCAAAGAAGATAGAGAATATTTCTCCCTTATTTTTCATTGCTCCAATTTTTTTCTCGGCCAATACAAGCCATAGTCCGAAGGCAAACATAATAATTGCATGACCACAGTCACCAAACATCACAGCAAAGAGAAATGGGAATGTAATGATTGTGTATAAGGCTAAAAATTAATATAATTACGATCAAGAACAATATTCAAGTTCAGTAAACTTTTTAACCATTATTTTTTGTTGTGTAAATTTGTTTTTACCTGGATTGCATTCTCTGTATGAACCGACTCCGTAGGCGTCGATAAGATTCTGGAATCCTCTGGTAAATTTATTCGTTCTTATAAAAGTAGGCGGTAGTTCGTTGGAATCGATAACGTTGAGGAATGATGGAATGGAACTTCCACAAGCGCTCTAAAACATAATAGTTATAACTATATAATAGACTTCTTAAATAAGTATAATTATTATTAACAAATAACTTACCGATCCATCTGCTAAGGCTTTTTGGACATTAGGAATATCGTTAGAAGGCACCCAACATTCACCAATAAGGCACTTTTTGGTCACGTCCATGTTGAACAAGTTCAGAGTGTGATAAATTGCTTTCATCTTGCTCACCATTATACTCCAGTTTTGTAGTTCTTTAGCCACGCTCACCTAAGTACACATATAAAGAAAAAGTAAAAAAAAACATACCATATTGTCTAATAAAATATTTTCTTTGTCATTTTTTCAGCAGCAGATTATTGAAATAGAATTTTTTGAAACCTTTTATAAAAGATAAAAAGCGATAGCCTCCAAAAGAAAAATAAAAGAGGCTTTTTAATACAATCTAATAAAAATAAATGTATTGCTCATGCATCTGTAGATGTTAGTAATGTATGGCAATCACTTCTTTTATTTTAAAGAACATAACATATGTAAAAATTAAAAAAAAAAATAAAAATAATCATACAGAAAGTTTTAAAGCTTTTTGGTTTTACCTTATTAAGTAATTGTTATCAGGTAGTCATTTTTAATGTTGACGTTTAACTTGATATAATGTCATTTTAACAGAACGTCAACGGTTTTTGTAGACGTATCTGTTTAAAAAAATACAAAAGTGTTCTCGAATAGTTGCATTTAGCTATTTTAAATAGTTTTTTTCTTTGTTCTTTGTATTTTATTGCTTCTGACGAAGGAAAGAGATATACTTTCTGAAGCGTTAAGTATTTTATGTTCGTTAGGCAAATTTGTTCATTAGTAAGCCACTGCTGACAACCCGTAGGATTTTTTTGGATAAACCTTTTATGATATTCCAGTAGTAATAAGATTCAAACTTACCAAAACTCTATTTCTATGGTCTTGTGTTTGGTTCAGAACCAGCTGCAAATCTTCCAATCTTGTTTTTACTCCTTTGAGCATCTCGACTCGTTCTTGCTGAGTGTTGGGGCAGGGATACAGCGATGCGTGGAAGCCTGCGCAGACCTTCTTGATTCTGGTTTTGAGCTGCTCTCCTTGGAAGAAAGCGACGAATACTGTTTTGTAGTGTTCATTTCCCTAATAAAAATAGGTTCTTATCATACAGGGTTGTTCACCACATAAGAGACGGAGTATTGGAGATAAACGATTAGATTTTTACAAATTGTAAGTTTTGGGTGCATTGAAGGACTATTAGAGCTACAATTTAAAAATATTTTTACAAGATACAAAGTGTCCCAAATAAATAAAAAATATCAGAGTTGTATTTTTTTAAATGGAACATCCTGTATATTATTACATTTCTAGTTTCTACGATTAAAATAAAGGTAAATTTGATAAAGGTTTATTACACTTAAACCTTACCGTTTTTCAAATATTTTCAATTTTGTGAAATGCAGTCAAAATTTTAAGGCTTCATTTCTCCAAGGGTATCAAAGTTTTTAATACTAAATATTTACTGAAGTTTATTTATTGATCAGTTATTGTGTTGCAATAATAAAAATTATACTACCTTATACAGAGTGTCTAAAATTTTATTTTAAATAATTACTAGCTTTAAAGGGCTATACCTTTTCAATTTAAATGGAACACCCTGTATATTTTACGTGAATCAGATGCACAATTTAATTGTCTATCAAATTGTATTATACCATTTTTTACTTATCTCTTCAAGTTTCCGTAGAAAATGCATTTTCTTGTAATTTAAAACTCATTTATCAAAATAACCATGGAATACTGACATTTTAGATTATTTTTAAAGATGTACTAAATTTTTAAAGAGTGCAGATACTAATATTGCCGATATAGTTTGTTTATTTCTTTAAAACATCAAAAAAACTGTTTAAATATTTGTTAAAGAGGACCAATTAATATGATTCCAGTATTCAAACTACATTAATTGATAAAATACTAAAAAATACTCCAAATACTAAAAAACTGAATTTTGTATGTGTATTAGACAGTGTAGTAAAAAGTAACACCTTGATATTTCATTTCTTAAATTAATTAATGATATTTCATTTTTTGACAAATGCTTATTTATAACAACAGAGACATTCATTTTCATAACTTATTATTATATTGATTTCTGATTCAAATCCACATTTATTTAGAATAATCGATTAACGAACATAATTAAGTATGTAATTAATTAGTATTTGGTATGCTCTTTTATAAAGATTTAAATAGGTAGTTTTCTTTTTGCATACAAATGGGCTAGTAATATTATCATTTTGCTAAAAAGATAATATTACTAGCCTGTACATTTTGTACATTTGTTGCTTTAAAAACAATCTAAAATATCAATATTCCATGGGTATATTGATAAATGATGTTTAAATTATAAGAAAATGCATTTTCTACGAAAACTTGAAGGGATAGGTAAAAAGTGGTATAATACAATTTGATAGACAATTAAATTGTGCATCTGATTCTCCTAAAATATACAGGGCGTTCCATTTAAATTAAACAAGTTATTGCCGTTTAAAGCTAGAAATAATTTAAAATAAATTTTTAGACACTCTGTATGAGGTAGTATTATTTTTATTATTGAAACACAATAACTGATCAATAAATAAACTTCAATAAATATTTAGTATTAAAAACTTTGATACCCTTGGAGAAATGAAGCCTTAAAATTTTTACTGCAATTTCACAAAATTGAAAATATTTCAAAAACGGTAAGGTGTAAGTGTAATAAACCTTAATCAAATTTACCTTTATTTTAATCGTAGAAACTAAAAATGTAATAAGATAAAGGGTGTTCCATTTAAAAAAAAAATGTATGTATATATTTGTAATATTTGCCTGTATATTTGTAATATGCTCTATACTATCTTTTTTATTTTCATAAAAAAGTACATTATTTAACTTTTTAACATAATATTATTTTATTTCATCATATTGTTATCTTAACAAACTGCACTGGAAATTAACTTGTGCGACCGTCTGTGTTATAAAGTTAAATAATGCATTTTTTAGCTTGTTTTTGAAAATAAGTACCTATAGAGTATTATATATCATATTTTTAGAAAGCTCATAACATGGCAAATAAAATAAAAAATAATACACAGAGTAACCCGTTTAAAAAAATACGCAAGTTCGGGTCATTCTTGACATGAGACGTGAAAAGTCTTAAAAAATTATTGATACTTACTGTAGTTGGATCTTCCAGTGGGGTTTCAATTTCGGCTCGTTTCAAAAAAACGTTTCCTCTGGATATTCTCCACAACATCCTTTCAAATGCTGGCACCCTTTCCCTGTTGATGACACCAGCCACGAAACCAAGGCGACCTCTTACGGATATATTGTGATCGTCAGGGATCAAAGCCTAGAGAAAACATAGTTTCAGTAAAGTTTAGGCAAGAAGAATCTACAAGAGTACTTACTTTATGGGCAGAGTCAAACCCATTGGCTTCGTCTTGTTCGCTGAAGAAGGCCTGAGTTTTCTCGAGCACGTGACGGAGTTCTGTGAGTTCCAAGTAGTTGGATTTCAAGTTGACGGAGTTCTCCATGAGCTGCTTGATGTCGCCCTCTGTTTTCTCTAAGTGGGCCTGTAAAAAATACATAAATTAAAATAAATCAGAAATAAAAATATAATTTTAAAAGACTAAATTTTTAAATGCGAACTAAATATTTTTTACTTTTTTTTAAATATTCAATAAAAAAAAGATTTACCCTTTAATATATTAGTAAATTTGAAAAGGAATTGACCAAATTAATACTAAAAACTTTTTTAATTGTTTCAAAACAATATATGATAAACAAGAGACAAAGATACGGCTATATTTTGTCAGTTCGACTTTGTTCTGGGATGCAAATCTCGAATTTCGCAGCCTGAATGACAGATCTCATCTGAGGCTCTCTGCATACTGCCAACAATCTGGGAGAGTGGAGCTACTGTTTTGCTTATACCATGGCAATTCATTTTGTTCGTATAAGTCAAGTACTTGATAAAAGTTAATTTAAGATCATATTTTCTTCTAAGAGAAAGTAGGTATACTTAAATTTATTATAACCAATAAATCATAATATGTCTTAAGCACGTAGAATGCTATTCGTTTAAAAATCTCATTCATTTGAGAAAAAATTCCTGATTATTTGACTCTTACTTACTTGTCAAAAAATAAAACAAATCTACATACTCAATGTGTCAGTTACTATAATACCAACATAATTTATGAGTAGAACGAAGATTATTCAAAATTATAGTGTCGTATATATTTTTATTGTAAAAAATGGCTTTTATTATGTTTGTAAAAAAACAGTGTATGATGATATACTAAAAGTAATTCTATTTCATAAAAAGAAATGGAATATGAGATTGAAGAAGGTCTGATTTCATACTAAGAAACTAAAATATCAGTTTTAGCATCAGATTTCTAGAAAATGTAATTATGCATGAATAGGTATTAAATAAAATGATTCCGTCACAAAAAATAACTTACTTAACTGTAAAATCGTAATTTTATACACAGAAAATATTGAATTTCTATACAGCATTTGCAAATAATTTGATATGTCCATACGCTGCATTTTTACTACTGGTTTGCGTGCGAAAAGTAAAACGAGAACTTCCTATAAGTGCATATTATTTCTTTTTAGTTAAAAATAATAGAAATAAATAAGAATTAGATACTAGCGAACAAATAATTTAGCTATACAGTGTGTCCCAGTAAAGTTAATAAGTGCAAGTATATGTTAAGGGGTGATAGATCTCGATAAAAGAAACACATTTTCTCTTTATCGTTTTTTAAATAAGTCCAAAATAACGGAGTTATTTTATTTTGAAAATTTCCAAAAAATGATTTTTTGCTAAAATTTTGAGAACCACTCGATCTTCTCTGGATTTTCTTTCTTGTAAATTTAATCGAATATATATGTTGCCATATATATTTACTATATATCAAGAGATTATGTTTTTTAACTAAAAACTAAAAAAAACATCAAAAAATTTTTTCAAAAAACTTCGAATTTTCAAACTTTTTTCGCGAAAAAAACCTCTTAGGCGTGTTTCTGGGGTCGAAATATACTACCCGTTTAAATACTTGCACTTATTTCTGGGACACCCTGTATACTGCCTAAAAAATTGATTATTAACTATTGAACTTTAAAGCACATAAAAATTTTAAAATGCCTTTTTTGTACGAGTCAATGGACTAAAATTCGAACATAACTATTTATTGGATTGACCAAAAATAACCAGTTTCTTAACACAACGTAAAAATATCTATATCATCATATTACACTAAAATAATAATTTTTAATTATTTTATTATACCGGAAATTACTTTTTATAACTATAAATGCTCGTTTTGAAAATAATGACAATATAATTTTATAATCTGGTATAGGCATGTTGTTAGCTGTTAGGCATTTTGAATCGTAAGCATGAATCATTTTAAATCCTAATATTCTTTTCCTGTTATTTTTACAATGTTCCTCGTTGTAAGTCGGGTTTAGCTTTTTATAGCACATTGTAACGATTTTATAACAAAATAATACTGACACAATTATTGTGTGCGTATTGTTAGCAACCTGTAGATTGACACATATAATTATTTCATCACACGTATATCGACAAGTAGATGATATACCGGGTATTTCTCAAAAGTGGCTCGCCCCTATAACTTTTTTTATTTTTCCAGATAAAAAAAACCATTTGATATGTTAATATATGACATAAATTAGGATTGATTGACGTATTCAATTGTTTTAGGTCACTTCCTGTTTCAACGGAAATGACTACAACTTTTAACATATCACATGTCAACTTTTGACATTTTCGTTTAAAATATCGTATTTTAAATTTCAATCTAGAGTACCATGACTGTATTAAAACACTAATTTTTAATCAAGGAGCATTGGAAAAATAGATTTGAGAGTTTAATGTGTTTCGTGTCTTGTTTTGGCTAGTTAAAAGATGCCAAAATCGTATTTTTAATCATATTTCATGTTTTTTTTTAAATGGGACAAGGGTGGCTCATTAGCATATGTGGAAAAATCATTTTCAACGAATAATTTGCAATCCATTGACGTAATTGACATCTGTAGATCTGTAGACGTGAATAATGTTAAAAGTCCTGTCGAAAAAATATTCTGTTCATTGTAGCCTCATGTTTACTCTCACCTATTGTTAGAAAACGAGAAAAGATAACATTTATACAAAAACATTATTTCTGATGTGGATAAACAGCGCCGCTATTTTGGGAAAGCATGAAATTGTTATGTTAATTGTCGACAGTTTTCCCAGTCAAGGCCATTTTCCTAATCGCATTGGCCATGATGTACGGGGTGGTCCATTTCCATACCGTTTTTTATTCTCTTAATGATGGGCACTTATTTTTATTTGGATAACTATCATACAGTGTGAAAACGATTCCATTTATCATACAGAAACCTCTATATTGTTTTTTATACCCTGTTATCTGTGCTAATAGTAATATTTAATATTTTTTTAGAATACATAGTAAAAAACAAAATTTCTGGCATATTATATGTGATTCTATTCACGACAATTTGACTCGAAATACCAAGTGTGTGGTACCAAATTATTCGTAAAAAATATCCATCCTTTTTCCAAATATGCTAATGAGCCACCCTTGTTCCATTTGAAAAAATTGAGATGTGATTAAAAATATGATGTGGGCATCTTTTAACTGGCCAGGACAAGACACGAAAAACATTAGTCGATCAAATCTATTTTTCCAAGGCTCCTTAAATAAAAATTAGTGTTTTTAACACAACCATGTCATTCTGGATTGATATTTAAAATACGATTTTTTAAGCGAAAATGTTAAAAATTGACATATGATATGTCATTCTATTCAGAGTGTCATTTTCTATCGAATAAAGCAAAAAAAAACAAGGGTGCCGTTTAAAAATCAAAAGTTGTACTCATTTCCGGTAAAACAAGAAGTGACCAAAAACAATTGAAAACGTCAATCAATCCTAATTTATATCATATACTAACATACCAAATCCCGTTTTTTTTATTTGAAAAAATAAAAAAGTTACAGGGGGTCACTTTTGAGACGCACCCGGTATTTCATATAAATATACTGTATGTACCCGGATTGGCTTTACAAGAGGAAAGACTTTTTTATTATTGACATTTTGAGAAAAATGTATTCTTCATAAAAATGTTTGCTTGTTCTAAAATATTACTAATTTTGATTAACGTCATATTTTTTGCTGTTGTTAAAGTATCACATTTTCCAAGGCAAGCGGCCAAGTTCATTTTGCTCTTAAAATTTAACCAAGTTATGTGTTGACATGAACCAAAAAACAAAATGCTCAGAAGACATGGTTCTGATCGAAAAATAATGTTTTAGAAAAATTTACTCGCAAATTTATTGCACAGGGTGTTTTAAATTTAAGATAAAAAAATAACCCTTCGATTAACCCTGTATGATAAGTCAAATACTAAAGTTTATAAAAAACTAAGTTTAATAATTAAAGTAGATATTATGTTTATATACAGTCTGTTAAAAAAATCATAAAAATAGGGCAAAAATAAAAAAAATATAATATTTTAAATTTGTAAAAAAATATGTTGTGTTTTTTTTACATCTGAGTTTGTAATTTTTTCTAAACTAAATAAAAAAATAAAAAAATGAATTTTCCTTGTAAAACAGACAATGTACTAATCAGGGGCGGATACAGGAATTTATTTTAGGGGGGGGCCCAAATCAAAAATAATGTAAAATATGCCTTTTAGAGCGTCATTTTTAACCCACCTCACTGATTTTATGGGTGGGCCGAGCCCCATGGGCCCCCCCTCTGTATCCGCCACTGGTACTAATGACCAAACCATAAGGGAACTGATCTAATAGATTGTGTAATACGAAATATTTCTATCTAAGGTTAACGAACCTTCAATTTCCAATGTATTCATTGGTTTCGAATACTTGACCTTACAAAGCTAGTATTAAATATCGAATCTTATTTTGTTGTTCTTGTAGGTAGCTAGGTCTTCCTTTTAGAAAAATGCTTCCAGATTATTTTGTGCGCAGTACAATACAATATATTTAATTATCAATAAAATGTATCTGTGACCGAGCAATTTGAATGGCCGTGGGCTAGGAAACAAAACGACAATTTAAAAATAAAAATGAGGACACTAGGTTCGGTCTTTTATTTATTTTTATCCAGGTATCCGTTAAAACTAATGTAATGAGATTGGAACCCTTGATGTTACAAGGGTTAAAGAGTAAAGTAAAACACTATAATACACTGATACACCAAAACACTTTGCTGACATGCATTTCGCTAACCATTCAGGCTTCCGAGAAAGTTCTATATTTGATTTTTGAATTTCATTCAATTTTTCTAATACGAGGGCAATGGTAACGCACATTTTGAAAATATTTTTGTCAACATACAGAGTGATTCAAACATATTTTCAAACCAAAGTTGTATATTTTTAAAGGGAATACTATATATTTTTAGATCAGTAAATTTATCACTAAATTTCCGTTCCAAAAATACTATAATGTAATATAGTAATGTAATAGATTGTTGTAATATTGTTATTGTTTTAAATATAACCACTTTTAAACTTAATGCTGCTTATTTAAAGCCTAACTTATGTACCAAATAAAAAAATACTTCAATCATAAATAAGTAAGCATATAGTTGGCTGTATACAGGGTGTCCCAGAAATAAGTGCAAGTATTTTAACTAGTAGTAGTTCTTTCGCGGAAATTTTTTTTTTGAAAATTCGAAATTTTTTGAAAAATTTTTTGGATTTTTTTTAGTTTTTAGTTAAAAAACATAATTTCTTGATAATATAGCAACATAAGTATTAGATTAAACTTACAAGAAAGAAAATCCAGAAAATATCCAGTTGTTCTCAAAATTTTAGCAAAAAATCATTTTTTTTTTTGGAAATTTTCAAAGTAAAATAACTCCGCTATTTTGGACTTTTTTATTTAAAAAACGATAAAGAGAAAATATGTTTCTTATGTTCTCTTAAAATACTTATTTCTGGGACACCCTGTATAGTATTTTTAATATATTATAATTTATTTGAAGACTACACGGGAAAAACGGACTAAGTCCAAAAAAATGGAAATTGAGATAACACTGCCATCTTATGCCCATCAAGTGTCCGTTCCAAAGCAGCAATAATTTAACACTGAAATAATCATCTAACTCCACTAAAATCACGTGAATTCACGGAAGACCGATACAAGTCCATATTTCATGGTTGTAAACATATCAACGCATACAAAACGAATAAAAATAGATATATTCAGCACCACAAGAACTTTATGCTGACCTAATTCCTTTGCCCAAACTCAAGTATGAGCAGTTACAATTTTTGAAAAAGTTCGTAGATGAGTCTCTGCAAGACTGCTACACAAATTTGCACTCAAAGAAATTAAATTCTGGAAATGTTCTAGTGGAACCATAAAGGAACTGTCTAGTAGTGTAGTTTCATTTTATCAGAAACAAATCGCCATTCCTAAGTAAAAAATAATCTAATGCTAATAATATTAATAAAAAAATAATAATAAAAATAAGAAATAAATAAAGAAATATTAAGAAAATATAATAACAATATTAATAATAAAAATGAGAATAAAAACATATTTTTCTCTTTATTCCAGCACGAGTAATCCTCGGAGTAACTACATACAGAATTATTCCATATGGAGTTGGATCACTTTTCCATTGAACCAAGCGAATGCGAGTTTTATTTTATCTAACAAATTTGCTACAAATTATTTTTCTTTGTTTTGTCTGTTAATCAGTTAATGTCTATACATACAACATAAACAAGGATACAACTATTGATAAAAACTTCTTACGATTCGCTACATTTTATTATTTCTTTTCCTTTAGTCTTTAAATTTCAAAATCATTTATCTCAAAAGTAAGAAGTGACTTAGATCGTTTTTCCCCTGTAGTCTTCATTTGTTAAATCAAAAAAAAAACAGGCGCTATATGTTCATTGTTGTGTTTAAAATGTCTGTATTCATAATTTTATTTTTGATTTGACTATATGTTACACTTCAAATGATCTAACAAAACATAAAATGTAGTAAAAGTCTATATTTCTTATGTATTTTACAAGGAATAATTTTGCGCTTGAATAACGTTGCCGTTATAGTTAGCGTTAATAAGTAACGGAACGGAACGCTAAAATTATGTTATGCCAAAACTCTCCATTAGTTTCTTCCGGATCACCAGGTGGCTCTAAATGACGAAATTAGATATTTTATATCAGTGTCCCATCTATATCTAGCACATGACATTAGTCTATGGGACAAAATGACTTTCCTCGTAAATTTGGAAGTATAATTAATAACTTTTTTAATGTTTACATTAAAATTAGAGGAACAAACTTCTGCGTTAAATAACATCACTAATTTATTCCAGTAATTTCGATGTTCTGAATGAAGCTTTGAACTATAAGAACTATGAACCGGCAACACTGCATTATCTTCGTTTTTCTGATTAAAATGCAGACACAAAAAACAAATTTAGAATGACCAGGCCGGTATGTATACCAAAACTGCATACCTCGAGATTGATGATTTCTCTAGGATTAGGTGCTTTAGGTAGTTCCTTGACATCTGGTATTCTGACGTTGTCTTTTTTCACTTCAGTCTCGATGAACCTAAGCTTTCGTTCCATCTCATCGCATCTTCGGACCTCCGTAACGAATTTCCTTTGAAACACGTTCACATCTCCGTTGAGCTGCAACAATTACAAATAAGATACAGACGCTGCTAATAATATCAAAAACATAACAACGATATTTCTTTACTACTAACATAAAATCTCATTCGTTTAATGTGAAATTGTAATTATCTTCATGTTAATAAAAAAAACATTTGATTAATAATAAAATTTTTATTATAATTATTCACATTTTTAAATGAAAAGCTTCTAAAAATGGCGCTATCTGAAAGTTTTCCTTTAACTAAGGGTCTACAAGGTTGCTGCCTATCCCCAGATGTTATTTAAAATCTATCTAAATGAAGTGACAGAAAAATGGAGAAGAGCGTGCAGAGGAATGGGAATACCACTTAAGGACGAAACAACTCTATACAATCTATACTTTGCAGATGATCAAGTAGTAGTGGCCCAAGATAAGGAAGACCTACAATTATTTATGACAACAAGACTTTTGAACGAGTATGAAAAGTGGGGGTTGTCGGAAAATACATACATCGAAGACTAAATATTTATGGATAGGCCAAGCGGCATAAACTCTACATCTGGATAGAAATATAGAGATAGAAATATGCAGTAAATATACCTACCTCGGAACTCAAATAGATTATACCGGGCGAACAGAGAGCGAGATTGAGGAAAGGATACTGAAAGGTAAAAAAAATATCCGGTGCCAAAACTAAGTATTATGGTCAAACACATCTCATATGAGAAAAAGCATACTATTTATAATTCCATCTTTAAAAGTATAGTTTTGTATGGATGTGAAGCATGGCAGCTCACTAACAGAATGAAACAACGACTATTATCACTCAAGATGGACTTCTAGAAGAATTTAAAGAGACCGAACAAAAAGATAAGGAAATTATGAATGTCCAGCAAACGATAATAGATGAAATAGAGAGAAGACAGCTGGTATGGTATGGGCATGTACAAAGAATGAGAGAGGACCGAATAGCTAAAAAAGTTCTGAAATGGATACCATCAGAAAGGAGAAAAAGGAACATGGATTGGAGGAGTACATAAAGCTAGTTAGTTCAATGAGTAGTAAGTACGAAATGAATGAATTTCCTTATTTATTTACTTACGTCACGGAACTGTACACATCCGGTTTCTCCCATTTCTGATATGGCGTAGTACCCGGCTTCCGGCTGGATGAAGAGCTGGGCCAGGGCCATCTTCTCACTCCTAAACATGGCCCCCATCTTGGCCGATTATATTTCACCCTGAAAGCAACGAAAAATTTGATTATAAATGGTTTTTGCAAACTCCAGTAATAATATGATGCAAAAAAACACAACGGTACAATGTTATATATTTTTTATTTTTAGCTTTATTTCCTTGATGTTTTTAACAAACTGTATATAAATATCTCAACTTTAATTCGTAAATAAATACAATTTATTATAAACTTTAGTATTTGACTTGTTATACAAACATAACACAATATATTTCTAGCCTCATTAACAGTGTGAAACGACGTCTACAGACAGTTATAGCAACCGGGGGAGGCAATACAAAGTATTAGAGTATTTTTTACAAGGTTTTGATTCGTTTGTACACTTAGTTATTGCATTTATTTTTTTAATATCCTTAGTTCTGTTAGCGTTATTAATATTTATTAAAGCCAGGCCTGTATCGTTACTCTTTAACGTTTTTTTTTTAAATTTTAATATAAAGTTTTAATCAGTGTCGATAGGCACCAAAGCCACCTCGTGATACGATCGTGAATGGACGTATACAAGCAATTCTAGCACCCCCGGGAGGCAATTCAAAGTATTAGGGTATTTTCTACAATTTTTTTCTGTTTGTATACTTGAGTATTACAGATGTTTTCTTTAATATCGTTAATTCTGTTATCGTTATGAATGTTTATTAAAACCAAAACTGTGCATTTGCAAAACTGTATCGTTAGTCTTTAACGTTTTTTTTTTAATTTAGTATAGAGTATCCAATGCAGCGTAATGTCATGTTACGACAATGGTCACCAAAACCATCTCGTCATATTAAAAAATTATATCATAAAGTAATCATAGTTAAAAAAATTGAAAATTGTTAGTAGAAGCTGTGAGCGTTGGCTGAAAGAGAGTTCATTTCGCTCTTAAAAATTAACCAAGGCATGTGTTGATATGAATCAAAAAAGAACATGTTCAGGAGACATGGTTCTGATCGAAAAATAATGTTTATACACAAAATTATTGTACAGGGTGCTTTAAAGATAAGGTAAAAAACAACCCTTCAATTAACTCTGTATAATAAGCCAAATCCCAAAGTTTATAAAAAACGAGGGACGACATCCCAAAAATGACAGAAACACAGTGAATTGAAATGACAGACAACTGCTAAATAAAAGCTTGTATGGAAACATACACATAATAATATTTTTGAAAATATTTTTCAAGGAAGTTTGAATCCCTTGCTTGGTAAACCCCCATAAAAATAAGTTTTGTTCTTTAATTACCCCTGTATTATTAAAGTATCAGTTATATAATAAAAGGATAATAACTAATATGTTACAATGACGTTAAAAATGCGATTATTTTTTATTGAAAATTTTATTAATCTGTGACATGTGCTGATAGTAAAGCTATTAATCCTCCCAACTCATTCTTTGTCAAAGATTGAACGAATTTTAAATCTATGTATTAAATTTAAAATACAAATCTTAAATCTTGTTCAGGGGATTACTAAACCTACTAACTAAAATAAAATCTTCGTTACAGTTTTACAATAATTACATTTCATGCGAATGGTATCTCTATTAAAATGCTAGCACTCGATTTAGAAAAAATTCAGTGCAAACATTTGCGTTCTACATACTAATAATATATGAACCACGCACACTGTTTAACCAACCATTTATTATCTAAGTACTACATACAAACGTAGTGGAATATCAAGTAGCCTTCGAGTTGGAAAGCAGAGCATCTGTGCTTAAACCAAAGTAAATATCAAAATAGGAATCAACGTAAATTGTTTGCAATATCTCATCTTTACTATAAAAGAAATCAGTACAGGAAAAGACTCTATACGATAAAAAAAAACGGCTTCAAAAACGGCTGGGGAATGACATGACTAGGGATTTTTTTTTGGAAATAGTAATGACTGCCTTAATTCGAAAATAAAAGTAGTACCATCTAATGTTCAAAGTGCAAAGTATTTATTGCAGAACAAAATGTTGGTAGAAATTTGGAATACACTAGAAGAAAAATTAAGGAAAGCGGAAGATAGCTTGTTCAACATTCAGCTTTTTCAAAGAAGGTATAAAACAGACTTGCCTCCAGCATATCTTTTGACATTGATTAGTCCTCGGGAATAAGAATATAACCTGACATCAGAAGAAACTAGTCCTGCACTGGAGTTTGCGAATGAAATGGATTCAAATACCGGATTTCTGGCAATTCACAATTTAAAAATAAATCTCTGCCATTTAGAAGTGTAATAGATTCACACGAAATAACTTCAAAAATCGGTCCAACATTTTAATAGATGAATAGATATTAGTGATATGCGTTATATGTTATATCTTTTACAATTATTTTTCGATCTATTAAAGTATTTAAACGTTACAACAGCAAGTATAACTTTGTACTTATTTGATGAATAGAATATAGGGTATATTTTATATAACAATGCTTTTTCATAGCTTTATACTAAACGATGCGTCCAACGTTGGTTCCAACGTTGGAAGCAACGTTGGACGCATCGTGTAGGACCGTAGTAACCAACAAAATATACTTAACGTTTCAGAGGGTAGGTATATCTTCTCCCGTCCTGAGCAGCAAACAACAGAAAAAATAGAGAAAACTGTTTAATAAATTCTAGAGTCTCATTATTACATATTTTTTCTAAAACTGATTTTACAGAATAGTTATTACCCTAAACGTTTATTTATTAAGTAATGTTTATAAATAAAATTAATAAACATTATTTATTTTTATGATAATTATGAATGCAAATACATAATAAAAATAATAAATATTAACAAGTCGATTTTAATTCCTCAACTGACCAACCAAAGGTCACGTGATTATAGCAGTCAGTTCGTTACTGCTATAATAGCCACTAGACATGAGAATTATTAGAAAATGCATTTATAAATATAAAATACATGCAAATGTCGGAAATTACAAACGGAATAAACGGGATATTATTTACTTACGTCCGATTTTTTTCTCAAATGGAGTGTAATTGAATGAAACAAATTACATCCTGTTTTAAAATTAGAATTTTAAGTTCATAAAAACTTTTATGTGCATGCTCTATAACTTTATGGAAACTATTAAAAAATGCATTTTTTGTTTTATAGCAAGATTCTCCATTTATTCAAATTTAAAATTAGGTCATAAAATTGTTTTGTTAAATTAATTTAAAATCTCATTTTAGTGTGTGTGGTGTGTTACACACACAATTAAATTATAAAAAAATATATATTTTTTTTTTAATTTGTGTTTTATTTTTTAACTTTTTTAATGTTACGAATATTTAATAAAAAAAACCACAGCCATGAAATCACTAAATTAAGAGAAAAATAGGTCAGTAACTATTTAAATATTCTATTCTCGTGTCACATAGGTCAAAAGGGCCAATTAGTTAATTGAAAATGTCACGTGATTCATTTCGTTTTAACTAATAATAATTATTACAAACGTTAATAAAATAATGCGTCTGATTAGTCATCTGTTCTATTGTTATATAAAGGGATAGACTAATGTATGATTGAAAAAAACGGCGTTATGGTGATCTTTGAAATAACAATCAATGAGAATTTCAGCCTAGAGAATTTAATTTTTAAATTTGTCTCAAAAATTATTATTTAAATATATTTTTCAGGCATCTGTAGAGGCTGTAAACTTTGGCAGAGGTTAGTGTTTAATGTTTAACGCTTCTTTAATTTTTTAAACAACGCCACATAAAGGTGCGTATTCATTATCCGAACGAACGAACGAACGAACGAATGAAAGTGCGGTATATTTAGACGGGGACCGAACACATGCGTTTAGACGTCATGGTACAAAGAATACAAGGTATGATCGATAGCGGCTCCAATTTCGTTCAGTTCGCGCATACCACCTGTGACGTCACTAGGAAAATAATGAATAAATTAAAAATAAAGAAAGTTGACAGGAGATCTGCATTTTTGAGGTTATGGTTAAGAATTGTTTATTTTTAAGACTTTTTAGTTCGTTTTAATTTAATTACTACTAAAAACCAGCAGTTCCAAAAATATATTTAAAAATAATAATTATCTATTAACATGGATTTGGACGATAGGTAAGAATACTGAATTTATTTCTATATTCGGTATAAAATTGTTTATTAGGTTTTTAGTTTGCGATGTTTATGGTAAATAATTTTCATTTTCATTGCCTCTGAATTCACATGAGGACAGAGTTGAGGATATCTATGGAAAAGTAACCACAAGAGGAATTGTTACATCATTTAAAAAATATTGGGAAGTTTATTGTTTCCCATCGAAAAGTAGAAAATGCCAATGCAGATGAACGTATTGTAATTGTGATAGAAGTAATTCTAAGGGTGAAGTTTATTATAATTAGTGGAAGTAATACCAAGGGTGAAGTTTATTATAATTAGTGACCTCTGCTTCTTTTTATATGTAGAAGTTTCTGGTTTTGAGAATAAATCGGTTGAACGACACCCAAAATTTAAAGGAAGTATTTGCATACCCAGAATATGCCCATCAAGGATTATATAGCTCAAATTTCCTTTAATGGTAGGCAATTATTCAATGCAAATTAACTTTTTAAGTGACTAAAATATTAAATAGTTTACAATATGGTATATCACTAAAAATATATTACTTTTAGGTACAATTAGGGCCCGATACATTTCAAAAAGTAGAATATTATTTTATATTAAATGAGGTATTGTACTAACAATCAATTTATATTAATAACGGAGATTAAAAAATAACAGAATAAATAGTTCTTTTTCTTATACTAAAAATAAACTATAGAAATACAACAGTATTTAAAAAATAAAAAGTGATGTTCCGCCGAGATTCGAACCCGGTCTCGCTTCCTCAGCCCGACCTCATGCACTGCTCCATAGTAACTTGCTTAAGATAATTCAATGACGGTATATATAACAAAAAAAAAACAGGTTTATAACAATATCTTGACGATTTGAACTGGCGCGCGAATGAAGAAATGCGTGCGGTCTTCTCGTGCGGTTCTATCGTGCGGTCCCCGTCCATACCACTAGCGAACATTCGTTCGTTCGTTCGTTCGTTCGTTCGTGCGGATAATGAATACGCACCTTAACGATACATTTTCTGAATAAAAAATTAAATATTTCATACACAGACATTTGGTCTTCCCTCAATACAGGCTAATTTTTAACCTATACGCATAAACTTGGGAAATTATTGCTGATGACAAATAATGACTAATAATGAAAAAAAAATGTTAGTAAAATATTTTTAGATTCTGAAATAATTTGAGCTTTTTTTTCACAAAAATTTATCAACTTTATCAGTAAATGCACATTCAATTTAATGGAATTTACATTTTTTGTTTTTATTTCAAATAGTTTGTTATCTCCGTAAATAAAAATATTTAGTGCACATTTAATTTAATGGAATTTACGTTTTTTGTTTTTATTTCAAATAGTTTGTTATTTCCGTAAATAAAAATATTTTACTAACTTTTTTTTCATTATTAGTCATTATTTGTCATCAGCAATAATTCCATAAAATAAAAAAATAAAAAAATTCCGTAAATTTTCATTAAAGAAACATATTTTCTCTTTACCGTTTTTCAAATAAGTCCAAAATAACCGAGCTATTTTACTTTGAAAATTTGCAAAAAAAATATATTTTTCCTTAAATTTTGAGAACCACTGGATCTTTTTTGTTTTTTTTTTCTTGTAAATTTAATCTACTACCTATGTTGCCATATTATCAAAAAATTATATTTTTTGAACTAAAAACTAAAAAAATTTCCAATATTTTTTTAAAAAAATCCAAATTTAAATAAAAACTCTGACAAATGCTCAGCTAAAATAAGTAATTTAGGAATAGAACCTTACAAAAAAATATACAAAATAATAAAACATTATATGGAAATATGAAATATTCAACCTTGTGCTTAATAGTCACATGAACAGAATACATATACCCAAGTCATATGATTATTTGTGTTACATTATCTTCTTATGGAAAATAAATGATTTTTCTAGTAATATATTCAAAATTAAATAAAAATTATAAAATAAGAAAAAATATAAATCCAAATAAAGATATTGAAAAATTATAATAATTATTTTGGGATCTCATGATAATCACAGTTTCTAAAAAAGAAAATGTAAATACATATTAGATTTTCGAAATATGTAGAATAATTACGTATTAATGATAAAAAGATAAAAAAAATAATATTAATGGAACTTAAATTTTTAACTTAAGTACCATATTTTTAATAAATGTTATTTTTATAATTGCACGAAAACAAGTTTTTTATTTTCTGAAAAATGAATAATTATCATAATAGTGATTTTTTCCTGATGGTCGCATGTATCTTTCTATTACATTATAAATTTTTTGTTTTAAGTCAAATTCTTGTAATAAGATATAAATAGAATAAAATGGTACATTAATTATACAGGGTGAGTCTTAAATAAGTGCAAATATTTTAGGAGTACTATATTTCGACCCCAGAAACACGATTATGAAGTTTTTTTCGCGAAATTTTTTTTAAACTTGGAATTTTCTTAAAAAATTTTTGTTTTTTTTTAGTTAAAATCGATGATTTCCTGATAATATAGTAGCATAGGGAGTATATTAAATTCGCAAGAAAGAAAACCCGGAAAAGATCTAGCGATTCCCAAAGTTTGAGCAAAAAGATCAGTTTTTTTGGAAATTTTCAAAGTACGGTTAAAAAATATGTTTTTTTTTATCGAGATCTAGCAGCCCTCGAAATATTTGCACTTATTTAAGACTCACCCTGTATAAGAAAGGAAAATAGTTTAAGAAAAAGAAATCACATGAATCAAGGCGTCACATGATTTAACAATTTTTACATATTATACAAGCTTTTCTGATGACTGCAGGTAGTAGAGATGGAACAATAGATATTAAATTTTGGTGAAAAATACAGGATAATTCTATGAAGATAAGAAAATATTGATGTTATAACATTATCGAATTAAAGATTGGTTTTATCTTGTAATATCGTAAATAATATTATTATAATAGCCCAAACTGAAGTATTGTGTTGATGAAAATGCATAATAATTGCATAATAAATTGAAAAATATATTAAACATCTTGATCACATGATTATATTACTGTGTTACTGATTTATATTAAATTAGAAGCTATATTAAGTTAAATAAGTCTTCTTCTACAAGAATTTTAATATAAATTCTATAAAAAAAGAAGTATTTTACAATTAAATAAAGATTTAATTTAAAAATAAGAAATAGTTCAACATCGTGACCGTCACATGATTACTTAACAACTGTGATGTTACAGGCTTAACAAATTAATTCCTAGCACTGACAATAACAACAGAAAAGAAGAATTAAACACCCAAAGAACCTTAAAAATTAAAATTTAAAAAAATGGCTCACCTTCAATGACCTAATGACTGCAAGTTTTTTGTTGTTATTTTCCCTATCACCGCACCTCACGAACCAAAGTCAAAATCTGCGGCGAATTCTTTAACACGGCTTGCACACACCGAATATTCGAATAAATTATCACATGATTTAGAACTACGGCGGCGCTCACAGCACGAACATGGACGAAGCCGAGGTGTTAAGCAACAAAAACAAACAATCTGCGCGAGAGATGATAATGAAAACCTTGTGGTGCCTCGGGTACCACCGTTAAGACGACCACACACGTAACCAAGTGTCGTCCAGGCTGGTTAGCTAGGCTATAAGTCGCTTTTGTCAATCCCGGGTATCGAATTCCGATCATTGGAGATCTATTGTGTCCTCTGATCTTTATCTGGGAGCACGGCAGTGTCCCCGCCAAGTCGAGCACAGCCGTACCATCCATTTCTCGAAAGTATTAGCGGCACTTTTGACCACCCTGTAACTTCGTTGTGGATAAAGTAAGAATATTAATTTCCACTACACTTGAAGGCATACTATAGCTGGCTCGGTTACCAAAATATCTAGTAATTATCCCTCATAGTTTATGAATTATCGCTTGTCAAATTTCTTTAATTTCGACATTGACTCACTGACAGATCATCAAAATTCTAAGGTACTTCTAGATGTGTCACAAACTCCAAATTTAGAATTTTCGGTAGCTTTAGGCTTATAACCAAAGGAAAAAATGAAAAATCTTGAAATATCTTTATGGATTAAAAGTTAACTGTCTAGCCGCTACCGGTAACTGGCTTTCGAGTCGAGAAAAAGATAGAAAACTAGAATTAATCGGAGCCGTCTCTTCTGATTTTATTTATATATCAATGTACCAACAATAATTCAAGGATTATGATTTTTTTCTAGTCAGACGTTAACTTGTAATGAAGTCCCTATTTATTTTTTTTAGTTTAATATGTTAAGGCTTGATAGCGCGGCAAATAGGCTAATAAGTTGGACACTGAACATTCCGTACAGCTTTTTGACAATAACTTTTCATTGCCTAGTGCAAAGAAGCGCATATTTATATATTTAATACCAATTAAACTTTTAGTTACGTAATCGAGGGCGCGATTTTTAAATTTATTGTTGCCAACCATAGACATATTCAACGCCGGCGCCGGGCTGACTAACTGGAATTTAAATTTCCCGCTGGGGATTTATACAGAGCTACCACCTGAGTGGTAGCTCTGCTGTAAAAAATGTCAAGTTGCCACTTTTATTTATTTATTTCCTGACATTGTCATTCGTTTTGACACTTTAGTTTTGTATTACGAGTTTTTGGTTTAAATAAAAAGTGTTATGATATTTTAAGCTTAAAAATGGTTACTAGCAGACCTTGCACTCGAACAATGTTCTTTCTAGAATATCTTTTAGTGCGAAGTATACAAGATAGCTTAATAGCCGTAAAAAACTCATCGCAACTTACTATTAGAATATTTTGAACGGAAAAACGGTATTAATGGCCCTTTATGTCCCTTAAGTGCTTTTAAGAAGGTGAGTTTTGTAGATGTAAATAATAACTATTTATATATTTATAATTATTGGGTTTTGTTTTCTAAAATATATTGATTAAAAGAAAATATGTAAAAGTGGGCAACGCTGTGCCGGTCAAACTTAATCACGTGACTAAAAGTTTATTTGATATGAACTATAGAAATGTTTTCCGCCGTTTCTTCTGCAGCCTTACAGAATCTGCACATGATTCCATCAGCTTTAAATACATATTAAGTTTAATGCGCTGTTAGTAGATAAACTACCGTTTTGACAGCTTTATGTCTTTGATAATCAGGTTTGCCGTAAATTTTTACGAGTCTTCTACTATGAATTGCTGCGCTTGCCTCTTATCCTGGTAATTTTTTCAACGTATTCTAGGAAATTGTTGGCCATTGCTGTTCTTACTTTTGCACCATCATCACCGCAGAAGGATTCCGGTCCTACAAAGGACATTGATCGGCCTTGTTAGGCCATTTTAGTGGCGAAGTTAATAATTGCGACCCTATAGATCTATTGTGTCCCCTTTTGTTGAGTTATAACTCATCATACAGTCTCAGGGCTTTAACAAACGCCAGTATCTGAGACAGTTTTACAGAGGTTAGTTCTCCATTACCGATATCAGTCGTACCAAAGTTTATGGCACGAATGGCTTCACTTGGTACGAATGGCTTCACTTCGGCGCACTCATTGATAAGGTGTTTTCCTATTTTCCCCACAGAATCTGCATTTGCCGTTGTTTCTTAGCGTCAATCTACTGATATGTTCATTGCGGAGCCAGTGTGTGTGTCCTGGGAAAAACCCCGTGACAATCCGAAAATTATTCTTACTTAAATCAATTGACTAAAACCAAGTGACAATCTTCGAGTGTCTTATGCCATTGGAGGATTTCCATTCCAGGTTACGGATGGAGTCTTCCAGGTTCTTGAGTTCCGCTTTAAGATGGTTTCCACTCGGGAATCTGGGACAGATCCATGCGTTTCAAGCATTACGAAAACATGTTAGAAAGGATAAATAGGAAGTTAGCGCTCAGGGCTGCATCGGCATACTGCACATGACCAACAGTAGCGGTACTGTGTCTTGCTAAGATACCTCCAATCAGTCTACTGATCCAGAAAAGAAATCAAATATATAAAAATAAAACTTCCTTCCGGAAAGAGGCCAGAAACATGGTACTAGAGTAATGGCAGACACGATGGGAAGCATATAGCGGATGGACAAAGACTTTCATACCCAATATTAAAGATTGGATAAAATTCGACCAAGCAAACACGGACTACTACATCACGCAAGCCATGACTGGCCATGGAGTATTTGGCGAGTATCTGCACAGGATCCGCAAGGCTGACTCTCCTACATGCTGGTTTTGCGAGGCGTCAGACTCGGCTAACCATACACCATTTGAGTGTCACCCGCACGAAGATATACGGGAAAACGCAGAAAGAGTATGTGGTACGAAGATTACTAGAGTAAACGTCGGAAAGCTTCTAACATCATCGAATGAAAATATCGAAGCGATTTGCGGCATGTTAAGGAACATTATGAAAAAAAAAGACGAAGGACGAAAAAGACAAGATCTGGTACGGACAAGACCAACATAGAAGCATGATAAGTCTCTAATCTTGATGAAATGCCTTCGGCGGTACCGAGATTTTGCGAGCTTAGAGCAGAGATGGGTTTTTAGTGCGTAGACCCTCTCGCATGAAATCCCCACACTCTGGCCCTAAAGGTGTTCCCATCTATAAAAAAATGGTTTCCACTCGGGAAGCAGAACGGTTCTGGTCCAGTTGGTGGTCCGCTTCTTTTCTAATTAAATCGATTGCTTTTTCATTACCTTCTAATCTTTGGTGGGATTGCACGCAGAGTAAGAGGGATTTATCTTCTTTGCCTAATTTTTTCAGCTTTTCTAGTCATTCTTTGACTAACTTTGAATAGATGGTTACTGAGTTGATCGCTTTCAATGCTGTTTTTTAGCATCTCTTTTTCTCAATGTATTTAGAACCCAAAGAGTTGTGACATCACTGGATGATACAGTTTTACAACAGTAATTTTATAAGAAAAGTTTTTTATAAGAAATATTTTCAATAATGGTAGATAACGGGAGAAAGTCATAAGTAAGATCTCTAAAAATAGTCTTTTGTGTAATAATTTACTAACTAAAAAAAATGGATTTAACTAAATTTGTTTTGGTAATGTTAATAAACCTATCACCTAATTTATTGAGTTATAACGAAAGCAGTATGCATTTTAATGTTAGTTTCAACACCATAAATTTTCTAGTAAAAACTGTTATACTACCACAAATACTCGGAATGGAAACATTTGTTTACATCATCACCTTGCGGTTTGAATTAATGGTTTTCAAGGTATTACTTTAATTTATTTCCCTCCTTACAAGTTCTGCTTTTGATTAATAGTCATATCTGAGTCAAAACAGATTTTATTTTCAAGAGTAATCAATGTGCAACAAACCTATAACATATTATGATATATGTATAACCCCCCCCCCCTTAAAGTTGCTGGTTATAGGTGAACATGCGTGGCATGTAAAGCGCGGGTATTTAAAAACAAGCCAACATGACTAGCTGGCTACTAAATAAGTTGTGGTTTGAAGTAATAGAAAACTATACAGGGTGTCCAAGAAATAAGTGCAAATATTTTAAAGGGTGGTAAATATCGATAAAAGAAACATATTTTTCCTTTACCGTTTTTCAAGAAAGTCCAAAATAACGGAGTTATTTTACTTTGAAAATTTCCAAAAAATTATTTTTTGCTCAAATTTTGAGAACCACTGGATCTTTTCTGGATTATTCTTTCTTGTAAATTTAATCTACTACCTAATATCTGACAAACGAATCTAAAACAGCGGAAGGAATGCGGGCAAAAAAAGTCGATGTTGTCACGTTTAATTATACAAAAACAAAGTTGCTCGATATTACCTATAAATTGAATATATTTTAGTTCATTTCAGCATACATAATTATATATATGCTAATATGTTGACGTAGTTCTTATTGTAATAATGTATATTTATCTAATTAACTAATTTCGTTCATTCTGCCTATTATAAAAGGTAAAGTATTTCCTTAAGATACGGTCCGCTTAGGGTAAGCTGGCAACGCTGACAAATTTCATCATGGCATCCCGGATTCAACCAGTCTGATTGGTCGAGATTCTCGCACGTCTTGTTGCCATTACCCCCAACTTTATGCCCCTCTCTAGGAATAGTAGAAACAGTCACTACTATTGAAAAATCCAGTGGAGGTGTTATTGTATTGTGTTTTATATCTTTAACTTGATTTGTGTTTATTGTAATTAGTACACGCGTTTTAACAAATATTACTATATTTGGCAAATGACTAAACAAAATGTAGGTACATTTAAAGTAAAATAATATTATAAACTTTACTGGAAAATATTATAAAAATTCCTGATATATCTTTATGAAACCCCGCACGCTCGTGTATATTTTATGAATGAAATCGGTCATGATTTTCGAAAATTGCGATCCCCTTGCCGTTGCCCCGTTGTTTCAGATCCGTTTGTCAGACTGTATGTTGCCATATTATCAAGAAATTCTGTTTTTTGACTAAAAACTAAAAAAAATCCAAAAATTTTTCAAGAAATTCCGAATTTTCAAAATTTTTTTTCGCGGAAAAAACCTCGTAGGCGTGTTTCTGGGGTTGAACTATACTACCAATTAAAATACTTGCACTTATTTCTGGGACACCTTGTATAAGTCAGAGAATTTAGAAAAGAATCTTATAAACAGGTAAAAGAAATGCTAGACTATACAGAGTGAGTCTTAAATAAGTGCAAATATTTTCAGGACTGGTGGA